GACACAGGAACTACAGGTGGCAAACAATTGAGGTTAAAACTACTCTAGTGATTGTAGCGAAGACGTACCTCCGTTCGCGCCGATAGCGATAGCAGCACAGAGTATGGTGAGTTTCATATTTGCCAACATAATGCCAGTTGTAGGGTGGCTAAATGCGTTTAATGAATAAGATGAAGTGCTGTCGCAAGGTATGTGGCGCAAAGCGTGTGGGTAGGAGACTGGTTGTGAACTTCACTGTTACTTTTCGACGCGTATATATACGTACGCCTACTGCAACCCGCACACACTCCATACTCAGAAGGTGACATGCACGCAGCCGCTCGTCGCCGCCCATTTCCTCGTTCCGATATCGCATCGCCTGTGCCGCCTCTCCACGACACTGTCTCGCACCAATGTGCCCCTGCTTCCGGTGTTAGCGTCCCTTCGGGCCTGTAGGCGGAAGAAAGGGACTGACGCACTGTCGTTCTACGTCCTTCCCAGAACTCCATTCTCGCCACTCCGTGCATTGGCCGCCGCCCGCTCTTCCAACAGCCTTGGAGCCGCCAGGTGTGATCGTCATCCCGCCCTGCGTGTGTTGCGCAATTATGATTATTCGCTCGTGACCGCGTGTGGAGATACGTCAATCTTCTCGGATGGCATTGCATCAGAGGCTGACTATCTACGACAAACACACTCCAAGCTGCATTCCTGGGTTCATGCGCTCTTCCGCAGGGTGTGAGAGCGGAGCAACCTGCGGAAGCTGATCGTTTTGGAAAATGAGGATGTCGGGCAGATACAGGCATCGTTTACTTTTGACAATTCCCGCCCATTGCGGAGATGGAGTTGACGATATCCGCGTTTGAAGATAGTTTGGCAGTTGGGTTTGGAGGCAGCATTGAAAAATATCTGTCATGTAAATTTCCCTTTCTTCACTCGCAACTGTGATTTAAGTGGCTAATTTTCAGGCTATTATCAAATTTGTGATCACAATGTGGTAAATCATCGACGTTTTCAATTGTTCTAGGGGAAATGTTATGCAGGATGTAACGATAAAAAGCCTTCATCGCTAATCCTACTTTACTACATCGCCAATGCTATTTCTATGCACTATTTTCCGACATGTGCCCCACCATTAGCCCCATTTCCGGGCATCCAGTGTGGGTGATGGTGGTGGTGATCATCATCTCCTGCTCCTTCGTAGGGTCGATAAGGTACGTATTGGCGGCGTGCGCGCGGGGTGACAACAGCGGTTGTGGTGGTTGTCACGTAATCTGTAATGACGTGCGTGCGTGTTATCACCTCAGGGGTAATGGGGGCACGCTGTGGAGCTAAGGGAGGTGAGTTAATATGTGCAACACCGACGCGTAAAGGGAACTGCGAGGGGCTTACAGGCATGAGTGCCAATGCCGAAGGCGACGACGAAGAATAAGGTGAGGGTCTTCGAGTTGAAAAACATTGTGCAGAACTGAGCTTGTGGTAGTGAAATACTGAGGACAAGAGTGCGAAGACGGTGGGTGAGACAGACACCCATTCCCATTGCCCTACTTGTATACTGCAGCAGGTACCATGCTCCACTCCGTACTACCACTGCTGCTCGCAGAATGCATGCCGTAGTTCTTGTGCACGAGGTAGGTACCCCAAGCGCGGCCCGTCTATTGGGAATCTCGCAATGAGTCATAGTCTCCAACACGGAGCGGCACAGTTGCCATAAGTCTTCTTTCTTCCGCTGCGTGACAGTGAGGCGGGTTGTGCGGGAGACGTGGAGATCGCTGTCATCTCTGTCTAGCCGATGGTTTCCGTCTTGCATCTCCCGATCAGCTTCCGTTCGTCCAGACAATACTCCAATCCTGCGTCACATCCATCTATTGATTGCTCCAGGGCCCGGCCATTCGGCATAAGATGCCTCGTAGGTGCGCGATACGGTTCAGCAGCAGTTCCGATATTGTTTTTCTTCTATTCTCCGTGTTATTCGGCGTCACTCTGCGGAAGGTTCTCCAGAGCGAACATACATTGGTACGGGCCGCCTAGCGTGTCCATCTGGATATAGACTGCCGGTGATGTCATGACCCGCGATTTGAACATGGGTGCGCCATTTTCTCCATATAATATTCCGCCTTCTGCCGTATCGACTTATTTGAGCACTCCCGCTAGGACACCCCGATCATGTGGATCTGGGATCTCACGTATACCGGCTCGGAAGTTGCTTAGAAGAGTGACATTATGTTAGTTTGAAGCCTCTCGTTGTCCATACAGAAGGTCCCCGACTGTATTGCTATTCCTGCTGTCACTATCCTCGGTAGCAAGGATACAATGGTCGGTATTATCCAGGATTCCCGTTGTAGCAACGTAGCAAGTGAAAGCTGTTTCAAAAGCTCGCGACGCTCCCATTGATATACAGAGGCTACCGTGAGGACGCGACGGGGTACAAGTTTATCACCGCGCCGTTACGAAGGCTCGCAATCTGACTACAGTACTCCTGCAGCTCCTCTTTTCCCAATATCACGAGGCGATCTTCTTTCACATTAGCGGAAATATGACACGGTGTTTTTACTTCTCAATGCCCGCCTTCTCCAGTGACACCAGATCTATCCTATGACCTTCCCCTTTTACGACCTTTTCCAAGACCAACTAATCTTTCTTCTTCGGAAATCCTGGGTTGGGCGGATAGCCAGGGTAGCCGGGATAGCCGGGATACGGCGGATAACCAGGGTACGGCTTGCTGTTTTCGGGGGTTCCTGGTGCCCCTACCACGTCGGGCGTGCGTGTCGTGACGGGGGGAGGAGGCTGAGGCGCTGTTTACCAGTCAGTAATCGGCATTCATCAACGCACTACAATGGGCGGAACGTACCTCCATAGACTCCGCACGAGACGGCGATGAGAGTTATAGCAATGAGGGCGACGGACTTCATGGTGTGTCAAATGTAGTGGTTACTCGAGACGTGCGGGATAGGAGACTGACATCGACATCTTTTCCCCAATTCGAGCCGTAGACGTCACACGTAGGTCATGTCGCCGTACACATGGCGTCTCTGGCACGCTAGCACGAGGAAGTCGCTAGATTTTTTGACCTAGATCCAATCTATTGTACATGCCTGTTGCTGCTACATAACCATGCTGAATGCTCGCGCTGCGGTATAAGCTGATACGACTAGATTTCCAAATGTCACGTACAAATTTAAGTACAACTGCTTCTGTTTCAACTCACGACGGAAAGTATATACCCTATCGTTGAGATACTGCAAAGCCAAGCGGTCACCGGTCGTGTTTATAATCATAGATCAGACGATAGGAGTTTTCGCATGAGGAAATGTAAGCAACGTTGACTCAGAGCACCTCGAGACAAACAATGGTAGTTATGCGGCAGATGAGAGAGCATCGACCACATCATAGAGTATGAATGCAGAACAGAGAATACGCACTGTTGCAGGCGTGGAGCTTGGGAAATTGATATACACGTCAAGCCTATGGCATTCCAGGGGCGTATGGGCGAATAACAGTCGGCGATTTGATTCATGTAGTAAGACATATAGATTTATAGATCATCGAAAGCTATTTACGTCAAAAATTGAAGGACTAATTCACATTTTTGAACCACTTTATGAGAGCAGTGCAACAGAGAGCATAAACTGTCTATCTCCCGCGAGGATATCCAGGATACCCGGGATACGGCTTGCTATCCCCAGGGCCTGCTGGTTTTCCCACGGAATCAGGAGTCCTGATAGTGGTGGGACCTGGAGGAGGTGCGGGACGTGCAGGGCGGACGCGGCCTGAGCAACAGGTCAGAGGCAGTGTATGACTGGTAGGAGGGAGCGGACTTACGAGGTTCTGAGCCTGGTGCTAATAGGGGGTCCATAATTATTGGCTGAAAACACAGGTGAATTTATAAAATACGTACCTGCAACAGCGCTAGGCACGAACACAATAGCGATAGCGGCGACGGCTAAAATCCACTTCATAGCAGGCAATAGAGATGCGTTTGAAGCGATGTCTGATAGTTGTAGAAGTCGATGAGTGCGGATGAAGATTCAAACGCAAGCGACGGCTATTTTATGGGCTGCAGCACACCGCCTCCGAGCAAGCGGATGCAACTGGTGCGGAAGTCGGAACGTTGGAAGACTGACCGAGCGAATTGGGAGCGGAACATAAGTGCATCTTTAATCTATTCTGTCGATCATAAATGCAGAGCCGCACGTGATCATGAATCATTGGGGCCGACCAGCATTCGTGTAAGAACACATGTCTGTGCCTGGTGGATGTACACTGGTGCGATCGAACGAAGCACCGAGGCTTTTTTCTACAATTGATCATTCATCGGATAAAATACGGAATACCTATACCGTATCTAGCAGAGAAGCTTCTTCCAACCGGCACGAGACTTCCGTACAAGCACGGCTAAAAGATCTAGGCTTGTATTTCAATGAGTGACAGCATCACGTCCTCACTGAGCGGTGATTATGATCTCGACGGCTAAATGGGCAGCGGGGGCGAAGCCATAGAGGTCCGATCACTACCATTTTGGGATGGCGACTCAGTGTGCACCTTCAGATGATAGAATTTATGGCCCAGAGAATCTGTAGACATAGGCTCCGTCGCATATTGTCGCCGAGATGAACTTGATTGCAGGCAGAGATACCTTGGAAGTCACCTACCTGAATCTTCTTGCAGACTATGCCCACGTCATGATCTGATGGTGGACAGCCGCGTCAGAGACGAAGACAAGGAAGACACATAGAAGGAAACAAACGTGGGATTCGATATGGAAAGAAAGCTTGAAGTCGATGAGTTATACATTGGGACTGTGGCTAGAGCAGAGTGGTCGGGCACGGATGTTTCTGTAGTCGATGCTTCTAGGCATGAGCTCTCACCGGCGGCGGACGCAATGCCTAGATAATACAAATTGAATATGGGACTTAAGCCCCATACCAAGTCAGTCCCTGGAGTAACTGCAGCCAAGAATGGCGGAAACTGCAAACTTCGGTGTTAGTCACATCGACAGAGGGTGAGCATGAACTTGAGCTCTGTACAATTTGTGTACACGAGGGTGTGTGATAAGATTTTACCAACCTATGTCACAGTCGCTCTGGCATAGTCTTGCTCTCCGTTCGGCTGGGGGGAGACATTTAGAGCAGCAAGCAGATTGAAAGTAGTGCTTAGATAGCATCGGTAGGATGCGATGTGCATACAGAGTGACAGATTCCAGACTGTATATAAGCTAGACCAGCGCGCTGCGCGAGTCTGCGCAATTTCAAGATGCTCAACACACTAGACGCCCGAGTGGCGTCGGCGTTAACACTTGCGACAACGCACGTAGTATGGGCTCCAGTGAGAAACATCGCTCAAAGACAGACTCGCAAAATACCATTCCTGACCAGCACTGTGCTTAGCACGAAGCTCGCAAAAGAAAACGCGGTGTTTTTACCCGTATCAGTAAGCTGATCTCCGCGCCCGCTCTCCTTTCCTACATATTCCACACTGAAAGCAAACTTAGAATCCATACTGTACTCGTTTCTCGCCCGCTTTTGTAACGTCATCGGCGGTCAGCCACAAAGATGGTATCATCATCTTCTGTTCTTTGGCACTGATGAGTCTAAAACCAATCCCCTCCTATTTCTTTCCCTAGACGCTCTAGCGTTGTTCAAGTCTCCATTACCGAGCCGGCGGCAAGTGGGTGCTTGTCTGTAAACCATGATCAGTCACTACACGGATGAATACTCTCACCTCGATCAGATCATTTGTTGGTGCATGCAGGTTACGCTGCGCATAGAGCACGTTGTAGATGTATCGTCAGAACGCGCAGCCCCGAGCATCGGAAACGTGCCATTGGGCCTAGCTATTCCTGTGCGGGAAGATATTCAGTCGACGCTCGTTGGTCACAACAATCTCATTTTCTGAGTATCGTTGTCACCAAAGGACAGCGACAAATTTTGTTCAGGTCACACGCAATTTAGACTCCTATGCGACAAGGAAAGCCCCGGCGATATGAGTGCCACGAGACGTCGCGGTATTCCATCAAGCCACATTCGCAGCTGGCCAGCTGGTTTTCGCAATGGTAATGAGGGGTCCGGTGCACATGGACCTGTCCTAAGTAAACAATTCAGCTCAATTCGAATGCCCTCGGTGTGGCGCTTTATATACTCCATGACTGACAAAACCGTCTCTCAAAGTGAATCCTTCTCACTTGCGCCCGGAGGCGACTCAGTTAGTCAGACTGCACCAAAAAAAAGCGAAGAGTCCAATTGCTCAAACCATTCGTGTATAAACTACATTTTTGCAGATACAGCACACACTACAACCGCGAGTCAGTGAGAAAATCCCGAACCAGCCAGTCCATACATCAAGACGCCTAAAAGAGCCAGCACTTATTCTTATCATCCTTGTCCTTGTTATCCCATTCGTGTTTGTGATCTTTCCCCTTGTCGTCCTTCCACTCCTTCTTGTCATCTTTCCAGTCATCTTTCTTATCGTCCTTCCCCTTCCAGCCCTTATACGGCTTCCACTCCTTGAAAGGTTTCCAATCCTTCCCATCGTTTTTCCCATTGTCCTTCCCGTGATCCTTCTCGGGGTGCTTGTCGTGGTCCTTCCCATAGTGCTTGTCATCCTTCCACCACGGCTTGTCGTCTTTCTTCGGCCAGTCCTTGTCATCCTTCTTCGGCCAATCCTCCTTGTGGTCCTTCTTATCGTCGTTTTGCCAGTGCTCATTATCCTTCTTTGGCCAGTCCTTCCCGTCGTTCTTCTTCCCATTGTCTTTGTGATCATTCCACCAAGGTTTGTTGTCCTTCTTTCCATCGTCCTTGGGCCAGCCTTTCCCGTCATCTTTCTTCCCGTCATCCTTCTTCCCGTCATCCTTTTTCCCATCGTCCTTGGGGTCCTTCCACCAAGGCTTGTCGTCCTTTCCGCCGTCCTTGGGCCAACCTTTCCCCGGCCAGTCTTTCTTTGGCCAATCCTTCTTGCCATCATCCTTCGGCCAGCCCTTCCCATCATCCTTCTTCCCATCGTCCTTGTGGTCCTTCCACCAAGGCTTGTCGTCCTTCTTCCCGTCGTCTTTGGGCCAATCTTTCCCCGGCCAGTCCTTTCTCCCGTCTTTCTTTCCGTCATCCTTAGGCCAGTCTTTCTTTCCGTCGTCCTTCTTCGGCCAATCCTTCTCTCCATCGTCCTTCGGCCAGCCTTTCCCATCATTCTTCTTCCCATCATCCTTAGGCCAGTCCTTCCCATCATTCTTCTTCCCATCATCCTTAGGCCAATCCTTCTTCCCATCATCCTTCTTCCCTCCATCCTTGGGCCAATCCTTCCCATCGTCCTTCCTCCCATCATCCTTGGGCCAGTCTTTCTTTCCGTCATCCTTCTTCCCACTATCCTTCGGCCAGTCCTTCTTGCCATCATCCTTCTCCCCATTGTCCTTCCTCCCCCCGTCCTTTCCACCATCCTTTCCACCATCCTTTGGCCAGTCTTTGCCACCACCCTTGTTACCGTCCTCCTTCTCTCCGGGGTATCCTTGATATCCGGGGAAGTTGGGGTATCCGGGGTGAAATTTTTCGCTCCCAGGCTGGCCGACGGCGTCCGGCGTGCGGATGGTGTCGGGGGTGGGTGGCGCAGGGGCTGATATTGAGAAAAAGTAGAAGGATAAGGAGACGTGCGGGAGAGATGAGACGGTGGGCGAAGGAAAAGGAGTAGGGTACGAGCAGGATAAGGGAGCGGGAGCGGGACAAGGGGAGCAGGGAAGTGCAGGGGAGAACGAACCACGCATAGACAGGAATAATAGTTAGTACATGTCGTACAGTCAAATGAAAAGCAAGGACGCACCTGCGAAGACACCAACTGAGGCGGCAGCGAGTGCTAGTGCAAAGAATGACGCGGATCTCATGTTGAGTACGGGTTCAGAGTTGAGGGTGAGTGAATGTGGAAGTCGCGGAGGTGCGTGGAAGGGCAAGATCTGAGGCAAAGGTGTGATAGGAGGGAATGGGAGCTGTCGAGCCTGAGGGCAGACGGCGGACCCTCCTCCAAGTCGCGTTGAGCTTTAAATATCTTCTGGCCTCCAAGTGTCCCAAGTTCTCGCACGCCAGTTGTGCACCGCTGGTAGAGGTCGAGAATGGCGGCCAAGGTGTGTATCTGCTCTGGGTCGCTTCGTATTCACAGCATGCCCGCGGATACAAGCATAGCGAAGAGGACGAGGTGGAAAGGCTCCTGAGGTGCGTGCTTGCGCCGGCCTCTGCCGCCCGCGCTCGAGCGTGCTGCCAGGAATCCAAGATTGACAGAGCAGCCATTGCGATCGGAGGCCGGACCCTCCCAAGAAGGTATGTTTACGCATGATCGGCCCTTTGCCACATCCAGGCGGATCGGATCAAGAGAAATACCGCTCCGTACAGATTCCTGGCGGAATTAAAGTCTCCATTGCCAAGGCGGAATCACTTAGAACCTTCGACTTGGGGATCTTAACAGCTTGTCTACCCGGGGACGTGACCTCTCGGAGGGTCCAGGCGGCGGATGCAGCGGACTCTTCATGAACCTAGGTGGAAGACATGGGAATCTTCCGCGCCCGCGGTTTCTTCTTGCGAGTTGCGGAATCGCTCAGCACCAAAGACATGAATTTCGTGCAAGGACGTCATCCCTGGTTGAGGGGTACCACCTGTCGTCGGAATAGAAATGGACAAGCAGAGGCGATGAGCCGTCTTGTGAATTGGCAGGAACAGCCGAACTTCATCTTCTCTATGCTTGGGTTTCTAGGCGACCGCTCCTGCGGTCTTCGCTGCCCGTCTAGTACAAGAGATGCAAGCCTTGATTCATGGTTCATACTACATCTTAGCTGAGTGGAGCAGGAACGAGTATCCACGTTGAGGAGTGCACTCGGCTGGCCGCCTCGGAGGTCGCAGTGGCTGTAAGATTGGGCGACCCCGTTCAATGATTCATGACTTCAGTAGCGGTTTGGACGGCATACGAGGCGGTGAGGCTGTAGATCTAGAATTTGTGGACTTCAACATCAGAGCAAATACAGGAGGATAAGGATTTTATGTCACCGGAATATGAAACTATCCGTTCAGTCCCCTGTCTATGGTGAAAGCTTGAGATCATCAATTTCGGAGTGACTCGACTCCAGGAAGCCCGCTGGCAACACACCATTGGCATACAAGGCACATTCCAAAAACTACTTTCCACATGGAACACAGTGCGACCCAATCGAAAGCCGCAATGCCTTCGCGACTTGGGGATTGAGTGGGCTGGTTCTCATATAGCAGGCCGCCGTCTGGATACAAGAAACCAGATGATAAGAGCTCATCCACCTTCATCCTTCCGCTATCTGCGAGGCCGTGTTAATCTGGGTGGAGAATGTCGTGATACGATACCACCCAAGTTAATACTTAGGCCGAGCTTGATCACTGGCCCAATCCATGCAGCATCTTTTCGAAAAGAGGCGGAAAGATCGGGAAATTGACCGTGTTCAAGTTCTTTCCTGTGAGAATGTATTTGAAGAGAATTCTGCTCGAAGATGATATCCAGTCCGCATGCCTGCAATAGCTTTAAGATCTGACCATGTTCGCAGCGTTCGCGCTGACGTTAGGTTGAGCCAAGGCATGGTGCATGGACAACTCCGCACCGGACTCAGATAGTTCTGTAACCCGCAGCCTGGGGTTCGAACCCGTCGTCACGCATCAATTGACAGAAAATGTGTTGAAGCTCAACAACCTCAAACTAGCATACCTCATCGGCGAGAGTGCACTCAAGGCATGAATTGGAAATGCGATACGTGAAAATGACAAAAATCCGAACTGAGCTATCGATACAGCATGTATACAAAATTACAGATCGCCGTTACATCCGTCATGACCAACAAGCTCCACGCAAAAATTCATCCCAAAATATGACAAATAGCATGTCCGCGAAACGGCACGCACGAATCAGACACCCTGATCCCGAGCCCCGTCGAGGTATTTCTGGAATTCATTCATGAGCCTCCTCGCACTGTCGCGTTCATGGACCGCTGTGTTCAATTTCCTCTTCATCTCTCTGTCAGACACATCAAACTCGTCTTGCAGTTCGTTCATAGGCCCGCGAAAGATAGCACGGGAAGACACGGGAAGCCCATTAGGTGTGTGAGCTTCGGATACGTTGCCGCTATCACTAGCGCGAGTGCGCTGCAGCTCACTCTCGAGGTCGGAAATTCGCTGCAATGCGGAAGATAGCTTCCGGTTGGACGATGGGAGATCAGCTGGGAGCGTGGGCGAGTCTGGGCGAGCAGAGGAAGGGCGCCCCCATTCGCTTCGCTGCTCCTCATGAAACCCATCGTGACCATCTTCAGCTAGAGAGGATCTCTGAACATTACGCATGTTCACCAAAGATAAAAGCGAATACGTACCTGACAAGTACAAACTTTCGAGATCTTCCGGTCCACAGTCCTGTCCAATCTTGTATAGTTCATGCGCGCGAACCACGCTCTCATCTTCTGCCCGATTGTTGATCAGAAGAAGCGTGACAGAACATATTGTACTCACCACTAACTAACGACGATCTGATGTATCCTAACTCCTGGTACCGGGGATGATGATGATGCTCCTGCTCCTGCACAACATGAAGCAAGCGTTCATGCGGCGTATACTCCTCATGCTCCGCCTTCACGTCATCCATCTCCGGCATAATGGATACATAGAGTTCCGGGGGAACTGGAACATCACTTTGCTCACTCGCAGTGCTTGAGGCGTACGTCCCACAAGAACTCTCCGACGACATCGACATCGAGTAGGGCCGCCCCCATACTCTAGCTCTCACCTGCGCTGGAACCGGTGGTGGCGGCATCTCGCGAGACGGAGGCGTATGCGGATAAGCCTGCTCAGGTACAACCTCCCTTGAAGCTTCGGTCCAAGCATACGTGTTTTGGCTGACTGGAACAGAAGCCCTCCTTCCCGCCTTCTCCGAATCTTTGCGCATCAAGGGCTTCCTCAGCTGCTTCCCCTCCAGCGCGCTCTCTATCGTATCCCCCTCGTCCAATGCGACCTTGCAAATCTGAGGCCAGCGATTCAGCAGCCACACCATGAGCACCCGCGCTGCATTTTTACTCGGTCCACCCAAGATGCGGTGGCCGAATATCCGCGCAACGTCCTCGTACGTGAGTCCATTATCTGGGCAAAGCGGGATCTGGGTAAAGAACGCGAAGAGGTATGCGAACAGTGCCAAATTTTCCGGAGGGAGCAGCTTCAGCACGTGTCGGGCGATGTCGATCCTCGGGCGTTCTTTATCCGCTACCTCCTTCCGCAGCTCTTCTGGTGTTTTGCTGCCTGTAGGCGCACTAGCAGTAACAGTCGCAATTCGTGGCTCCGAATGAGATCGCTTGCGCCACATTTTGTTTGGAAGGGCTAGAGCGCGTGTCTGAGTCTCCGACTCGCCCTTCAATTCTCTGCGCTTCTCCTCGTCACGGGTTGAAATAGGATTGACGCACCAAAACCAGAGGGCATTGTGCACCACTCGGTCAACAATGGGCTCCGGGAGTGAATTGACATAGGAAGAGAGCAAAGCACAGATGTCTGCCATCGATGCATGATGCAAGGATGGTGGAGACGACTCAGGTTCCAACTGATCGAACATGTGAACGAGCTCCACAAGGTGGGTACGATTTGGAAGCGCACGAAAGAGACCATTTTGATAGATGCCTATATCAGGCTGAGTCGATATCAATGAAGAATCGATGAGAAATCCAGATACTCACCAGTACGGTATAACTCTTCGACACAAGCATATACAACAGTTGGAATCTCATGTTGGTACCCGCCAATCACCGTCATGACAGACGAACGATCCAAAGCGTTAAGCAGTTTTGCGCCAAAGATGTCTGCATCACGTTAATATATGTTCAGAATGCAGAGGGGTTAAAACTCACGAGGCTGATCACCTTTTGCAGCGTCATCGGGAGCTCCCTCGTCAATCTCGTCTCCTTCCAATTTGGCCATCCTCTTCCTTCGCACCTCCTTTTCCTGTTCTTTCACCTGCACGATCTCATCCACATCCAGAAAGTCCTCTAGACGTAGCTTCTCCAACAGCAGAATGTCATTCAGCACATTCAGCACTGAAACCGGGTCCTCCGGCTGGTACACAGGAGGCGGTTGGGACTCGGATTCCGAAGCTGGAAGAAGCGGAGACTGCTGCCAAGTCATCGCATCAAAATCCGCGCTGTCACAAATGGCGAGACTCGCAGATCTGTCGGACGAGGTGGAAGTGGAAGCGTTACAACTCGAGGATTGTGGGATACGCATAGACTTTGCACGCCTGCTCTTTGTCCGCGCATTGCCAAAATCTGTATCCACGTCCGCGCTCGACCCGGCAGCCCACCCGAGATCAGATGCGAGCCCCGCGTCTTCCTCCCGCCCCGCTATGATGGCGGTCCTCGACAGCATATTGCACGACGCCGCACGGGGGCGTTCGGGAGCAGGCGCAGCCGGCAGCTGACCACATGCACGTGCGAGGCGATCGGCGTCGATGTCGGTGGAGTGAATCGCATGGAACCGTGGGTGCACGAGTGGAAAGAGGGGCGGGCATGGCGCGGGGTCGGCGGAGGAGGAGGGGCGACGAGCGGGTGTGCCCTGTTTGAGCTTGGGTGTGAGCGGCTTCGCCACATTGGGATCTGGGCGAGCTTGAGGTGCCGAATGAGTCGTGGGAGGAGTCTTCTTGGAGGAAAGAGCGAGAGAGGAGTGTTGCTGGCGAGGAATGTCCGCCGTGGAAACTTCATCTGCTAGAGAATGAAGCTTTCCGCCTGCGGCGTACTCACGCGGGGGAGTGCGTGTCCTAGACGAAGGACTCGGCGGCTGAAGAGCAGTGGTGCAGGGGCGTACTTGCGAGCTGCTACGCGGCTGGCGGAGGATCCCACGAGGCGTAAGAGGGGGTTGCGCATCGAATACGTTCCCTGTGATGGACGGCCTATTCTCCCAAGGCTGTTCTTCAGATGATCTGGGTTTCAAATCGCAGATGAGTACAACTGTCTGTATGTAAATAAAGGTGCTGACGATGCATCTGACACAGAAAACGCTTTCGAGCGGTGTGAACAAACTGGCATGATGATAGCAATCCTGAGGCCTGCTACAGGACCAAGGAGTCAGCCTTCCAGAAAACCAAGAACACGTTAGAGAAATTCAGTAGAAGGTGATTCGTCGCCAGTGGTGGAGGGATCGTGGAGGGAGGCGGAGCGGCAGAAAGGAGGAGTATCCGCGTCGGCTTCAAGAAGGGCTGAGACTGACCTTGGCGACTCAGCGAACGTGCCCGTCCTCGGGAAATTCCTGCGTATGGGTTCTGACTGGAAAAGCCAAGAGGCTGAGCACGTCGGGCCCGCCCCTAAGTACTGAAAATGGGGTCCCACGATGATCTGAAAATGGCGCGGTGGTCTCGATCGGGACATGATCGAGATACAGTTCGATGGCGAGGGCTCCGGACTCTCGCCCGTTCGAGCTTAGCGCAGACCCTATTGAGGTCGAGACCATGCTTGCCAAGGGTTCCCGTCCACTGCACAGTGCACTGACCGACTTGCCCGAACGCACTGACGCCGCGGCGGCAGGACACCAGCAGAAAGGAGTACGCTGCGACCTGCCAATCCCGAGGTCAGTGCGCAGGATCTGTGGCTCGACCTATCTAGCTCCGAGGTCTGTTCGAGCTACAACACGCACTGATTCAACGTCGAGGGTATGCTCACCGGGCATCAAGCCTTCCAGCCGCTGTCCGTTGAAGGGACCGGGTCCGCGAGATCTCTGTCTGTCGCCATTGACCATACCCATTAAACATAGCAACGGCGCGATGCAGACGGTGTATCTTCGAGCCAGGAGCTGTCTTAAGTTCAACATGACGTCAGTCTTATAAATCATTCTCTGTGTAATGAGCCGCCGCCGGCAGCCATGCTTCCCTACCTTCGGTTGAACTGCTCTGCAGTTCGGGTAGTCTTTGAGCTATGACATCTTAATTCGATAGTATGCATGGCATTAGAGACCCCGAGGACCTCTTGTTACGGGCTGATTATCGGTCGGTTAGGAAACGACACTGATCAAAAGTGCGGCGACTTACACTTTTCGACTAAATGGTATCAATGACGAAACTTTAAGAATCATACCCTCCCTCACTCTTGAAGTCATTGACGTCTCTCGACAGGTAGAGCAAGTTTCTGCTAAGACACTGATATCGCGCCCTCCACAAGTATGATTTGAGTATTTAGGCGCATATATCAATACAGATCCCTTAAAAGCATAGCTGAGACGCGCTCTGTTGTGAACTTGTTGATCGAGTAATAAAAGATAGACTTACAGCCATAACCATGACCTAAACTTTTTAGCGTCCTTGCAAGATAGCGCGAACAATCCTTGTCCCATTCGCCATATTCAAGTTTCATTTTATCGAAGTCGACAGCATTGTTCCCGCTGTCTTCTCATGATGGGGGTCTGAAGCATGACCTAAAAGAGAATAGCTGCATGGCTGTCGAGAATGAGAATCGCATGGCTCCCGAATAGATTGTGGCGAAAAGGCTCCCGGCATCTCCCGCAAGTCAGCGTTCCACGGGCAAGTTGCTACTCGACCTGGGTGACTTCTATGTTACAACTAATTAAAAATGTTCTTCAACAAACGATACTTTTCAACTATAGTATTCTACTTCACTTATATATCTTCCTCCCTTATATCTCACTGCACAGACAACGATGTCACGATAACGCTGATTCCATTTTGCCTGGCGAAGTTGTACAGGGACGGTCGTGCGAGGCAGTCGGCCTATCACTTTCGATGGGCGGACCAAATCGTGCGGAATTGGAGGTGACGCGGGAGGAGCTTTAAGAAGCTCTAAGAGCGGACCAGCGACGCAGCTTGCCGGCGGAGCCATTTAGGTGTAGTAGGGGCGATCGCAACTATCGAGACCAGTATCGAGCGGGATTGACGAAGGCTCCCAAGGGAAAAGCGGTCTTTCCGCTCTTTGAAAATAGTTGGGAGCGGAAGACCCACGTTGAACTTAAGCATGTGCTCTATAACAATGGCGATGGTCCGATGGATGAAGTTCGTTATTATTATTACGGGCTCTTAGGGCAGAGGAGCAAGTCAAACGACACTCGGGAGATAGTTACAATGAATATACTCGAAGATAGATTACACGTCCATCTGAGAAAACTCCGCAGATGTTCTATGCTCGACAATGAATCACGATAGCAGTGAAGGAGAAATGTGCGAAACAGTGTGCGCCTGAGGATATGAACATAGCGGCGCAGCCTACCTCAGGCTTGCTTCGGCTGCCACCCTGTAGGACCGTGACCAAACTTGTAGAGAATCCTGACACTTGCAATAGAGAATTCCAATCTGAGGCTCCAAAAGCCATCCTCGCACCGGTATCACCCGACGGCAGTCCAGCAACATGAAGCAAACCCAAGTAGGGCTAAGGCGACACTGGGTGAAAGCAGTAACATTTTTGAGGAGGCTTGACCCTTAATGTTTCATTGTGGAATTTACTATCGTCTTCATAGTTCCACAAGCATCAGCTTTAGGATCGTTGCTATTGACACTCACCCGATTGAGGGGGTGTATGCAGAGATTTTGACGACTAAACAAACGACAGCCACAGAAAAGGGAGGCAGTATGCATTCGTCTGATGACAATTATGTCGGCGCATATGAATGTGAATCATTTCAACACAGGCATGACGTACACTTTGAAGATCTACTATGTCTCCGCCTACTTCATGCACCACCTCCACTCCAATCCTTGTGCTCTAGAGTAGTAGCTTTCCCTTCCGAGTGATTTGCGACATAAAGTAGACGAAGCTATAGACTGTATGTGAGTATGCCGGCAGCCATACGCTACTAGTAGCTTCCGCGAGCGTGGGCTCATGCGAATTCACATTGATGCCCAAAGATGCAGCTGAACCACTCACAACGTTGTGAGGGTGCAAGAGACACGACTGGAAACGGCAAATCGAGACAGAGCCACAGATTGATACAACTAATCTCCGGGTCCTCTACTGTAAGTATGTAGCGGTTCAAAGTTCTAAATGATCCGAAGGGGAATTCTTTCTGGTTTAGAGCAAACGTGAACCTGGCCTTACGTAAAATAGGAGGTACTTGCCCGTTCATGTGACTCCTTCACCGCGCCGTCGGCAAGGCCTGCTACCCAACCCTGTACATTCGAAATAAGCTATTGCTCCTTGATATATTTTCCAGCATTCAGTACATAGTTTACATCACTTCTATATGTTTATATTTGTGCCAAGTTTTCTGTTACTGACTTCACAATCCATTCTTTCACATCTTTATTACATAAGCTTTGGAGTCGTTGGCGTCAGGCGTTTTCTGTCCTAAGTAATACCATGGCAGGTTGGAACCATCAATTCTTCGAAACTGTACGTGGAATTACTGCTTCTTGATATATTTCATAGCACTCTGCACACTGTTTAAATCACTACCAGTGTATGTTTAGATTTGCGCCAACTTTGTTCTTACCAACTTCACAATCTTGGACAGGTGCGAATGAAGGACCCCAGTAAATGGTGGAGGCACATCTGCTCTAGTAGCGGTCGACTTTTCCCGATAGGTTCTTCGATTCCCAACGACTTCACTCTCATTTCCGATTAATCGGCGAATCAGTACGGTGAAGCTATCCCGCAACACTTTCCGATCGGGTGATCAAAACGTCTGGATTTGAGCATGGGAGCATGCTGGGCCTTATGACATCCATAGGTAAAGATCTCCTAAATTTTTGGTATGCTAGTCATCCTCGAAAGTCATTCCAATCCCTCTACAACGCCAGCAGAACTTTACCGATTCCTGACTGGACACGTTTCTAGGAAAGTAGTGGCGACAATGGGCCCGGCATATCGCGAAGTTTGACATATCTTGGCGCTCCGACGGAGTTTGCGTGCCCTACGTAAACAACATGCTGGCAAATCCGGTGCTTGAGCCCCTTGTCTGCAGGGCGTCCTGCTCAGGCCGAGTTCGGAGGCCTTAGCCCGCCGTGTAAGACAGAACCCGGGCTTCGTTCAACGCATAGACGAACGCCCCAGACTTAAAAGGGCACGAAAGCTCGCCTAATCCTACAATCATTCGACGCACACCCCCGCGTCACAGTTCTTACAACGCCTATACGACCATGATAATGAACGGACTCACTAACTTCATTTGCTTCACTGTGCTTAGCTTTTTTGCGTTAGTCACCGCGTTTCCCGTTGTTCGCGAGGTGTACACTCCACCAGTGATCCTCCCCGATGCGAGTACCGTTTGGGTCGTTGGTAACCAATACAATGTAACATGGTCTGTTGATACATTTTGTCCCCTTGATGTGTGCTGACATGATTCCCAGGAATGTCACCGACGCGCCGCCGCTTCAGAATATTACTGACAGAACTGGTTTTATTGTTCTTGCAAAGGGCGGGGATGAAGCTTGGGACAACAACACATGTGAGAGATCTTTACGTTCCCTATGCATAGGTTATTCTCACCTCACTATTATGCGTGTGTGTAGTGTTGGAGCTAGCCTCGGGCTTCTCCATCTTGTCCGGTACTGTCGAGGTCACTTGCCCGAAAGTCCCTCCTGCAAATGATTACGCTATCGTTTGTGAGTAGAATTATAATTATGGAGACTGGAGCTAATGGCCCTTCTTAGTATTCGGTGATTCTGGCAACTTCGGAAATCTGTTCACTATCGCTGAATGAGAGGCGATTGGTATCCTTGTATATTTTCAATACTTTTTTTTCTCATTATGGACGGTTACGATATTACGATTTTTGCACGATATATATTCACCTCCTATCTCGCGCGTGTGAACTCATCTCAGGATTTGGCTCAACTATTGATATTGGGATTGATTTCGACTTGTGAAAGGTTAGTTCGACCATTTAATTTTGACGAAGATTGTAATATAACGGTCGGCCGATTCCCCCTCGATGAGCAAACGTCCATCAACATTTGCCAGCATGAATTCTGATTCAACACAATATCCTCAAGCCAGGACTTCTTCCAGGATGTGGATGATTTTCCGCACTTCTTCGATCGTGTTGTAGTGCACAAACGATATGCGTACGACAGCATCATCGACATCCAGCTTTGGCTGAAGGTTATCGACAAGTGTAAATGCGTAAAAGTGGCCATAGCGAATGCCGATCTGTGCATAAATCTTGTAAGCAATTGTTCTATGACTGCCGTTCAAATAACGTACATTTCCTCTCGCGTCAAATGCTGCTACTACGTCCTGGCTGCGGATACTTCGTTCGCCACCCACTACAAAGCTCACTGTTGGTACTCGATTGAGACCTGCTTGCTCGTCTCCGACAATGCGGACACCGCGCTCTGCTTTTCCTTGGAGGTACGTAAGCAGTGGTCCAAGTAATGTCTGCTCATGCGCTGCGATACTCGCAAATGCATCGTCAAGAGACCCTACGAATACAATTTCAAGACGATGTGCTTCAGCCTCAATCGTTATGAGCTTACCAGAGGGTACTAGCGAGCGCAGATAGAGCGGGACGGCAGTGCAACCGTACACGATCTCGTATCCTGGTCCACCAGGCTGAAGTTTATAAGGCTTTTCAGCGACTGCAGCGCTAAGAAAGTGGTGCGCGAGGGAGGTGAGTGACCGGCTGAGCGCCGGCTGATGCGTATACAGCACGGAGGCATGTGGGCCATACACCTATGTCATCGACGATCAAAATAGTGGACTTGCTAGTTATTGCGCAGTCTGACGGACCTTATACATAGAGAAGACACAATAATCGATATTCCAGTCCTGCACATCCATACGCCGATGGGGTGCGTACGCCACGCAGTCTACGCACACTTCGAGCTTCCGTACACCGAGCTCGTGAGCTTTATTCTTCACGGCCTTAGTTATCATTTTAACGGGCACTATCGAGCCCAGGATGTTGGAACATGCAGTGAATGCGACTAGGCGCGTCTTCGAGGTGATGAGCGGCAGAAGTGTCTCCAACTGCAAGCCAACCGAGTAGGGATTGTTAAGAGCCGTTGGGAGTTGTGTTGCATCCCATAGCTTCACAATTCCCCCCCGTCTTTGCGCAAGTCTCTTCCAAGGGCCGCCATTCGCTAGCCATCCAGAATGAAACAGATCAACGGATCAAACAGATCGTCAAGAGTTCAAGCATGTGAGCGGTGTGCGCTTACCCTCATGCTCGCCGGTAACAACAATCTCCTCGCCTGCTAAAACATCCGCCTCTAACGCCCGCGCAAGATTCTCCACAAGCATCGTTGAACTGCTCCCAAAGGCGACTTCATCCACGCTCGTTGCGTTTAGCAGCTCTCGGGCGGCCTCTGCACCATCTGCAACTCGTGTAGTGCTTGCTACGGAAACAGAATAATCCGCGCCAAGCTGTACGTTTGTGTTGAGCAGGTAGTCTGAAATTCGAGACACCGCGGAAGCAAGACATTGTGATCCGCCTGCATTATCCGCGTACAGGAAATCCGAGGCCAGTGCGGGGAAAGCAGCACGGACGAGCGGGATGTCGAGCTGGGAGGAAGCCATTGTTACTATGGTGCAGGTGTCTATGGCACAGCTGAGTGCCGGTGATCGATTTCAAGGAGCTCGAGCGGGATGCGGGATTCCATACGACGGGCTCGACGGCCCGATGCGCACCTGCTTTATGGTTAGGGTTCCACCGGCGCGTCCGATTAGGCTTTCCCTCTCGTTTAATAAGGGCGAAGCCTATGTCGTCTTCAATAATTCTCGATTTTGCCGCACATTAAGGGAAATGATTAACGAGTGACGATATAATGAGTGGGACTCAAATACATAACCCTTTCCACTCGCACGGAGATTCGTTACTATGGTACCGGACCCTTCTTCTGAGCTCGGTTCCTCAGCAGAGTCTTCTCAACCTGAATATTCAACTCTCCCATCCATTGCAATGCGACGAGGAAAATTCAAGGACAGAACTGTATCCGATGAGTCTACCTCCAGGGGTGGACAGAGCAGAAAGACGAGATCTAGATACGTGATGCTCTGCTGAGGTATGCCGAAGAGAAAGCATGGATATTCGTTAGCAAATTCCCAAGCATCCTGAATTTCTACTAAGATTGCGTCTACCATTGACGACTTCCGCGATCGTCAGACAGAATTTGGCCCCCAAGAAGGGAAGTTTAACTTACTTCTTCCGTGCGGATACATTCCAACTTTCGCAGCCAGTCAGAGGTGAAGGGCCCTCTGTGACTTGGAAGATCCAAGTAAGTAACATATACATAACAGATGATTACACGCGAGGCTCATGTTCAGACCTTGACACCTCGACACTACAAGCTCGGATCTTCAGTGCGCACACGATTGCTAGGGCATTGGTGGCCGTCAGCTGCGAAAAAGCATCATTGAGATCAGTCGTAATACCTAGGACTGCAAGAACGTTGCTTACATCCATAGGCAGCAGTTTGTATACCTGTGACTTCGGATCATCAACATGTATCGACCCAGAATAGTTAGATTCTAGCCCTTGCTTCGATGCCAGTGCGCCAGCAGCCAATCAAACTTTTCAAACTTCGTCAGATTGACTTCCAGCCAGACGTAGAACGGCACTGGAAACGAGCACGAACCATGCCTACTGAACCTTCAAAGAGGCCCATTCAGGCGTATGACCTGAAAGATGAAAAGAGATGAACAATTAGCCAATACAGCCTCTGACCAGTCTAAACTACGATGGAACGGTGCACCTCTGAAAAAGCTTTGGAAGCAGAGACCGCGTATGTGCAAGTCATAGCGGCTCTCTGAACGCAAGATCAAGTGAGAGATACAAATCGCGGAAGTACCATCAACAAAGACTTCATCCTCTCCTGAGGCTTATAAAAATGAGAAATAGAGTTTACAGATGACAATTGTTGATGGGTATGATGTACCGCTGTCTTTTCCAATCGAATTTATTCAGACTTCGCGCACTTTAGTCCTTCGCACCACGACAGATTGAGAACCCGTAAACAGCGTTTGGTTTGGAGTGCGACGGAACTGCGAGAAGTTGTTTATGATTTGAAGGAAAAGGAGGGACAGATGCGGGAAGTTCATCTGTTCCGTGTGTCTTGTACAGTAGACGACCGCGACCGGTAAACACCCAAAATGAACGAGGATCCCCATCAGTACCTCCACGTTAACCGAAAGTCTAAGCATTCGCCTTGGTTAGCCTTTCGCTTTCCAAAGCACCTGTACGCATCATTCCTGACAACTCCAACTATGGTCCAGTCTGTCAGGGGTATGACAGAGGTAGAAGAGTGTGACTCACATATCCCCGGAAGCTTCCCACTTTTTCCGAATGCAAAACCAGGCTCAGATGTTACTTCAAATCTCATCATAACCTCGTCTGCATTACCTATATTCTTAGCAAACTAGGCCGGACCATGGAGATAGAACCCGAAGCCGTTAGACGGCGCGATGTTTTTCTTGCGATTTATACCGCCATGAAACAAGAACACCCAAATCCAGAAACGGTCAACTAGTGTGAAGCGAGCGCGGTACATTACTCTGTACAATTTCAAAGCATCGCCATTGAGTTCGACCCGCAAGGTGCTATTACCAGGTCGTGAGAAGTACAGAGGAGCACGAAAGCTAGTAGCAGTGACCCAGTCGGAATACCGTGACGTGACGCAAACGTCCCACAGCAATTTCCGAACATTGCGGCAACGCTCACTTGCCAACGCGTCCTTGATATAATCGATGTCGATGAATCATTGCTTCTGATCTATAGTAGTTCAGCAGTATCCAACTTTCGCAAACTCATTTCGAGCAGTGCCGGCGACAAGCGTGGCTAAAGCGCCCGCCGCCACCGTGACGGTTGAGTCGCTTGAGTCTGGCCGCTGCTTTCCCTCCAGGTCCTGCTCGATTATGTGATCGTACTCCTTCTTACCGGCTCGTTTAATTCTTTATCTAACCGTGATGTCGTGGGCCGTACGGTTCAGTCATGAATGATTGAAAACACGCGAGTGTCTGAGGTGCATATGCTTAAAGTCCTGGAATGCCTCTGCCAACTCTGAAGAAAGATCAGCCATATTCAGAGCAGCGTCGAAACCTAAATAATATCTTTTCCCTTAGCAGTTGAACGCACTTTACCCACGTCATGACGGCAGCAATTGGGAGCAGCTGCCTTCTTGCAAACGTCGTTACAAAGACTACCCACGTTATAATCACCGATATAAAGGATATAGAGGATTGTGGGTACAAGCTATTCCTTTGGTGAGCACATCATGCAACGATGGTGGTTGCTGTTGATGTCGCTCGCGGCCGTCGTATACTCAGTCGTCGAATGTGCCATATATTCTGACCCGGCGCAACTTTCACAGATTGAGTATGATTTTGTAATCGTGGGAGGTGAGTGATTGCATACGGCTTCCGTTGCTTTCCAAATGCTTATCGGCTCTAGCTGGAATTGGAGGGAATGTACTTGCAGCTAGGATTTCGGAGATTTCGGACTTCTCAGTCTTAGTGATCGAAGCAGGAATAAAGTAAGTGTGAGTCGCTGATTTATGCTATCCATGTTGAAATATATTTACTGTCAGGAACGAGGACTTCGTCGATGATAAAATTCCGTTTTTATGTAGCACACTGTCTCCCGACACTGCTCTCACATGGAATTATACTACCACCCCTCAGATTGGTCTGAACAACAGAACAATTCCGTATCAGCGAGGTCGCGTACTTGGTGGAAGTAGTACGATTAGTGAGTGTTTCGCATCTTGTCTACTTTAGTTTAAGAATCGATGCAGGTCAAAATAAGATTACATGATATGGAATCGAGGGTCTGTAGATGATTGGAATCGCTATGCTGAATATACGGGCGATAGCGGTTGGTCGTGGGACGAGATATTCCCGTATATGCTAAAGGTATGCATCTTGTTTGTTGTTATACATGTCATAACGCATGGAGGTCTCAGAGCGAAACTCTCGTCCCTCCAAGCGACCACCACGATACAGCAGGGGAGGTCAATCCCGCACTACACGGCACGTCGGGGCCGGTTCAAATCAGCCTTGGAGGGTATCCGACCTCCATTGATAGGCGCGTCCTTGATACAACACGGGAGTTGCATCTCGAGTTTCCGTACAACGATGATATGAATTCAGGATACCCTCTTGGAGTCGGTCAGTCAGTGCGCGCGACCTGGTAAACCTATTCTTACAGGTTTTGTCCAGGGTGGAATCCGAACTCGGTTGACACATTCGGGCGAAGAAGCAGCTCAGCTACCTCATACCTTGAGCTTGCATACGGACGTCCTAATTTGGATGTCCTCATCCAAACGCAAGTTACTAAGCTCATATCATCGCCCGCCGTCGACGGTACGCTTACATTCACCGAAGTTGAAGTAACACAAACCGCAGATAGTGAGGGCATGTGCGGTTGTGTCTATCATAAAAACTAACACGTAACAGGTCCAACGTACACTGTGCAAGCAGCTAAAGAAGTTATTCTCGCTGCAGGATCTATTGGTACGCCACAGATTCTCCTTCTGAGCGGCATCGGCGACTCGGCCACGTTAGAGAGCATCGGGATCGCTCCGCTCGTCAACCTCAGCGATGTCGGCCAGCACCTCGTTGATCACCCGCTACTCTCGAACCAGTGGCTCGTGAATTCCACCGATACATTCCAGGCAGTGACGCGTAATGTTACCTATGAGACGGAATTGTTTTTTGAATGGAACTCCACTGGCACAGGGTTATTCGTCGATCCAGGCAGCATTCAACTTGGCTGGGGAAGATTGTCTAGTAATTCAACCGTATATGGCTTATACACTGATCCTTCTGCTGGTCCAGCGTCTCCCCAAATGGAATGGCTCTTCGCGGTATGTGGCCTATCTCTCGATTTAGTGCGATATGAATGGGTACCTCCTTAGAATGGTTTTGTGTCTAGTGTCCAGCCTATTCCGGCCACCGGAAACTACTTATCGATTGCCACAACAGTCGTATCACCTGCATCTCGTACGTGCTCAGATCACATCGTGTATCCATGCCACTCATCCAGTCTCAGGTGGCTCAGTAGTTCTCGCATCCAAAGATCCGTTTGAAGATCCACTTATTGACCCTGGTCTACTCTCAAGCCCCTTCGACCTAGCCGTTATGGCTCAGGCCGTCAAGCATGCCCAGACATTTGTGACCGCTACAGCATGGGATGACTATATCATTGCACCGGCAGGAGGTCTAGCCGGTGTGCAGACTGACGCAGATCTGGAAATGTACATCAGGAACTTCACCGCAACTATCTGGCACCCTGTTGGTACAGCTCGAATGCAGCCGGTTTCGGGAGAGGGCAGTGTTGTTACGTCCGATCTACTCGTGAAGGGTACATCCGGTCTGCGGATCGTGGATGCATCAGTTCTGGTAAACTTACTCATACGCTACTATGACTTCGGATGCTGACAGAGTGTTGTAACTTCTCAGCCATATATTCCTTCAATGCATCCACAAGCCGTTGTTTATGCTTTGGCGGAGCGTGCGGCGGATCTGGTGAAAGCGGCTTGGAGTCGCGAGTGACGATCTATGTACACGGTATCATTAGCATGCGAATCTGATTTGTTCGCCATTTCACTCACAAATTCTCAAGCAGCGTGGGAATTCCTGGCAAGTCCCGCAGAATGGTAACTTCAGATGCCCTTTCTATCAATCAGGTACTGGGTCGACGCAGTTGGGATCGCAAGAAGCGAGCAGAATGGAAAGTCAAGCGACCAAGGTAAGCTTGCTGGCCTGCAAACGATGTATTTGACGGAGGAGTCAAATACAACGATGAGATACGGGTAGACACAGATGTAGATTTATCAAAAGCTTGTTCTATGGGGCTAGCAATGAGACAATGACACATTCGGGGCTTTCTATAGAGGCTGATCGTATCTTCCTCATTGTTGTAAACGTGATACAATCATTGGTCACATCTGTCGTAGGCTCATAGTTAGTTCTGAAGCTTTCGCGACAGTGCCCGTGATGCGAAGCTGAGTATGTGGACAGTCAAGTCTCGCCATCATATTGTGCTACAAAATAGGGATCATGAGTGTTCTGCGCCATGAACAAACCGGCGAGTGCCAGTGAGAATCTAAAGGTTCATCTGCTATGTATTTCTTAACAGATCATGTGGGAGAGAAGAGCCAAGCCTTGAGCTAGCGTCTGAGGTGCTCTTACTGAATAGATGGATGTCAGCCGCATGTGCTCTTAAGTCTTCAAGCCTTTGAATGTAGACATTCTTTCTTCTTCCAGTGGGGACTGAAGCTCCACATGTTTCACGCGAACTGGGATGAACATAAAATAGGGTTAGGGTTATACGCAAGAGTGGCTCCATGCATCCCGGCTGAAATTAGCATCTATCAGTGACCCTGAAGAATAGCATAGCAAGCGGATATGAGACTAATCTAGTCCGGACTATAGGCAGGTGGCGAAAAGATCTAGATGCACCGGCACGCTTTCAACATGGTAGAATTAAAGTAGTGCTCATAATCTCAGGGAGTGATCTTCAACAAATAGTTCAATCTGTGTATCTGAGTTGCACGTGTTCTAAGTACAAGAAACAAAGACAGTGCCAGGGGACATAAAAGCCTCGTGGAAGGCAACGCCACATTCACCACCCGCCCGCACTCACAAAGGAATTAGACGCCAGGTTTTGTTCCATGCCACTACTCAGGTTGTTTTTCAACAACTACTTGCAAGCATCTGTGCCACTGGCTCCGTCCCACCTTAGAGCAGTTAAGCGCTCGTTCACGTAGTAGAATACACAGCGAGCTTTACGACCTCTAACGTACTTTCCCCCTGCGCGCGACAATGAGCCACTTCACTTTCTCTTTGATCCCTTCCATGACCGTCGCAACCACTACGTCCGCACAAGCCTATCTTGCGCAATCAGAGCCCACGCACGAGAACTCAGTCCTTCTCGGAGTTCAGGACCTCGATTATACATACAATGCGACTGCTAGAAGGAGCGTCAGTACGCGCACTGATATGAATACAAAAACTTGCAAGGTGTGTCGTGAAAGCTATTTATACATAACAATGTGCGTACTCACCGTAAGAACAGCATGGCCTTCAGAAACCCACCAGTGAATATAAGGCCAGCATCGACCTCTCGTTGGCGTGGAGCGGTGGCGACGACGATAGTCTCGACATTCCGAGCTGGGAGGAGTTCGAGGAGATAATGGACGAGGATAGACTAACGCTCGAAGAATATTATGTGAGAGTGGAGAGGGAGGCGAGCCCTGATGAAACGGTCTGTCCTGTGAACACTGGTCAGCTTTTATACGTATTGACAACAATTAAACGCACCTAGCAACCCGCTTTTCATCTCGGGACAATATTGAGCCCAATATGGGTCAACAGTACACGAGTCGGCCACGCGCAAGTAATTACATTACTGTCTGGGACATGCTGGTGCCAGAACACCGAACTACATCCATTCCTCGACAATATGTTCATCCCCAAGCACTGCTCCTGCATGGACGCGACGTGCTGGTCATCGTCTCCAGCTTCATCTCCAGACACCCTTATAACTAGCAAAGAGCTGTGCGAAGAGGAGTTATATAGCAAGTCCATGAAGGAACCGTGGTGTAGAGGCTGGTATTGATGCCGGGGCTCACTATAAAAATAACAGATGCAGTGATCAATTATAGCATTGTGATTTAGGTTAGTTATATTCATGGACAGTGCGACAGTGTAAACTGTCATCTGTTCATTATGCAAAGCACCAATGAATCTAGGTCCGCTGTGGCTCGTGTAAACGATGAAATCAATAATGAATGTGAGAATGTAGACTCACTAAGTATGGAAGGGAACATCATACGCAATTGGTGCGATGACTCAGGAGACGATATCCTGATCTGCGGGCACACCATGTGTCAAAGGCGTAACCGCAAGACCCACAAGTAGATGATACCCCAACCCCGGGCCCACGTCAACTGACGCCCAAGCACAAAACCCTGGCTGCTCCTGCAATCGTTCTCCCACTCCGCGCTGTCGGCACTACACCCCACTTCGCATCACCCTGACCAGAATGGACATTCAACTACTCTCCCCACTGGATTTATTTAGATCGTCGCTACTATCGCCTAATACTCTCGACTTGTCACTCGAGCCGCTGGCGACCTTGGAATACGACAAGGCGCCCGGTGCTCTGAACCTCAACCCACAATCTCATACACAGCCCTGTGATCTTTTGCAGCCTAAGCCAATGCGTGCGGACGGGAGTTTCAGACAGATCATCGAATGGGACATTGTCAAGACCGCAGCTGCGAGAAACCAAGCAAATAGAACGACGAGGAGCCGTGAGGTGAGCCATAGCAGCATTGACGCATAAATGGTTGGTTGCTCACAGACTGGCAGTGGGACAAGCATGTTGATCTATCCAAGCATACACAGCGTCGTCACCGGAAAAGTAGGCCTTCAACTCCATCTGAGCCTTGCAACACCAGGTGTAGGTCCAGGAGCATGACCGAGGGAGAAGGTGTTCAGGGAGGTCTCCACGTCGCTATCATGATGCTATTCGAAGAGTGGGTCCACGCATACCATGCTCGTGATGTAGAGCTTCGGGCTTCCCCGGCTGTTCCCAGCGAGTCCTGGGCACAGCGTCGACGACGTAGGGAACGACCTGGTCCGCGAAGGTCAGAGAATTGAGAGAAGAGGGGACGAGGAAACTGGCGTTTTGTCAACGGCAGTCGCAGATAGCGAAAGGAAGGGAGTCAGGTGCAGCTTCATACGACGTGGACGGGATAATCTCGGTGGACGATCCAAAGCAGTCGTTATCAGGACGTCATTGATTTTCAAAGTACGAACACATTTAGAAAAGGGAGCGATTGACTTGGGCGACCAATGGGGATGGTGAATGTCCATGAGTTCTTTGAGAGGTGTGCATAAGTGGCACAAGCGAGTGGCACAGTCCCAACGATTAGCTCCACCTATGCCGAAAGGCCAAAGAGCGTTGAAAAGCCAGACAAAGACATTGTCCACAAAGGTCGGCTGTAGAATCCCTAAGCGGCCAACCATAAAGCCTGATGCGTAGTACGCTTTGACTGGACTGTTCGTCCCTTCCCTTCCTTCAAGAGGCGCTACCAGTTCGATATCCATCCATCCCGACTAGACGGGCCCACCTACACACCCAGACACGAACCTGCCACTGCTAGTATTTCAATTGCCATGCTTTCCATACGCGCTCCTCGATCCTTCGCCAAGAAGGAAAAGCGACCATCGTTGTTAAAACTCAAACCCAAATCGCCCATAAAGAGCTATGCTGACGCCGTCCGTGGAGAAGAAGAGCAGGGTTTAGTCTGGATCAACCCCACGAGCGTCGGCACAGATGCGTCTGGGAATTGCATTCTGGTGAGCACACATAGACCTCGTGTAGACACTGATCTGAACGCGTCGTTACGGCAGTGCGAGAGCTTCAACCCCTGCTTCAAGTGCATGGCGTCTTGCAGCACACCAGTGCGGCCCGGTTATGAGCCAGTTAGTTCGACTTTCGTAGCGCTTGCAGTATTCCACTCACGGTAGCCTCAATTAGCCCCATGCCTTCCATCTTGGCACTATCCTCGATCCATTGTGGATCGATGGCCCATGCGTAGGTTTCGGACACCGACCATGGCTGTGCCCTCCCGGCTCGTGGGGGAAAAAGACGAATATGGACGTGTTCAAGGATCCAGCGGCTCGACAGGTACCATGGGTGAGATTGCTGGAACGCTCTACCTGCAAGCTCAGGAACGGAGTGTCATCCGGTCCATCAAGCTACCCGCGATCTAACAGGTTGCAGAATGCAGAGGACAGTGCGATTCCGTCGCTGACATTCTCTTCATCATTGGACTCTGGAAGTCCATCAATTCCCGCCGTTCTGAACAACCTCTCCGAGTTGCACGCCAAAATGGGGGAGGAGGATGCGCCCTGCATCGTTTACGCTACTGGGAACGTTGACCAGCAGACAATCTTGGGAACACCTTTGCTCCGGGAGAAACGCGCATACCACACATTCGCAGAGTTTGAGAGGAGGGAAAGTACACATCTCGTTCGTTTGGCAGCGATCTGGGCAACAGTTCCTCCCGGTTTAAAGAAGCCTACTCTGAAGTTGTCTGATATAGATTCGTGATTTGAAGTACTCCCTTTGAGCTAATGAACCCCGTTATACAAAACGTGTACTGAACAACGAAGCGGCAGTGAGAGGATGAAAGTGTGATCGTCAGTGAGGCTAATGGCGGCGTTTTTTTTCTAAGATGAGCAGCAACACAAGATCTGGATCGACAAGGTTTTGTAGCTTCTGTTCAAGCTTGCACAAGGGAGCATACATATGAGCGGAACTTGAGAGGATCGACTCGGATGGCAGAACATACCTGACTTAGGTGCGTCGCAACATATCACTCTCCAAACCCCTGCAAGCTAAGGATGGTGACAGCGATGAGTGTCAATACTACTTAACAATAGATGCGAGAGCGTTTTTGGATACACAAAGGCTGGGAGGTTCATTCCAGGCGTGAGGGAAGCGGTATGGGACACGCAAAGCACGCAGATTGGCGTCGAAATAGTGAGATCAGGAGACGTGCTTGCACGGAAAGGTGCGGCTTGCCAGAGATTTCTCATCACATGATTTTGAAGCGATGGAATTCCGAATAACGAGTGCTCGACTGCTCGAGCTGGGGCAGTGCCATTTTCGACCAGTGCCAGTGCAGCGCTCGGCCATCGACATCTTCTGGAGGGGCATCGACTCAGAAAGTGATTGATGTTCCGCAAGAGTTCTGCGGAACATAATGCGTCGAGTAACAAACACACGAGCGACAGAAACGGCTCCGTGCGCTATCTTCTGGACACGTACGCCAGTGATTGTTCAATAGCTGTATGATATTATGTCGAATTTTCAAATTTGCCTTTGTGATGCTGATATTAGTATCTCTTTTTACCACATACTCATTACGACCAAGCGTAGGCCCAGGGAAGACTGAAGGACTGGAGGCTTCATGTTGTGATACCTTCACCAACGGGCTCGCTGCCAGCAGCTCCATGTCAGCAAATTCACGTGTTGGTATTATGGAAGTGCAACAGCAAACCTTTTGATCATCTCGCGTCGGGAGAGGGTGGGGCTATACTGTCGAGGTAAGTCACTTCATTTCTCAATGGTTTTATCCTCCCACTACAGCTGCCAGGAAATTGACTAACTAGTACGAACAAGGTTGGAGGCCAATTGGAGACGCGGGGTACGATGATGGGGTTAGGGGCAGTTACGTCAGCTGACGTTCCTGCCATAAGGGTCTTTATAAACTATGTATATGCCCGACTCCAATCCCGCTCTAAGCTGCCCTTCTATCACTACACGACCATGACCTCCCTCCCTGAATCTGCTACCAATCAAAGGCCTGTACAGACCATTGATGCAACCAATTTCCCGGCTCACTCGCAGGACCCCGGCGCTGCCGCCGAATCACTCAACTCGCTAGTGTCTCATTCGGCTCAACATCACGACGTCCGCCATGGCATTCATGCACCCCTGCATCGCATCGCAGAGATTCCCCTCGTGCACAGAATGATTCCTGGTCTTGAGAAGCTTGCTTCGGAATACCATTTTGGCAATTTTGTTGTCGATCGTGCTACTGGGCAGCGGTTCTTCGAGAGCATGCCGATTTACACTAGGTGCGTCGGATTTGGGATTGATGGTGTTCTCGGCTGAAGGATCCCATACCATTCCACGTTATCATGTCTTTGAATAAGGCTCGGTATGCATCTACTTTTTTATGGTGGCGAGCAACGCAAGGTTCTGCACAATAAGACTGTCGAGGCGACCCTTCAGGAGCTGTCTATCCGCGTAGGTTTGATTTACATTTGCATCCACGCCAAAAACATCCATTGCTAATTTTGTCACCTTAGCAAGGAAAAATATACGACAGCCATGATTCCGTTCAGTCCATTCCGTCCTTCATCGAGACATACTCTATTCGCACAGATGAGTTGCTTGAGCCGAATCTGAGTAAATATGGCTGCTTCAACGAATTCTTCTTCAGGTGCGCTATTCAGCCTTATCAACTTTCCATGCTTGGCTGACGCATTCTCCCAGGAAACTGAAGCCGGACGCTCGCCCCGTCCAGAATGCAGACGACTCTGCAGGCATCTGCAGCGCTGCAGACTGCCGGCTAGTGGTATACCCTGTCACAGACCTGGCAACGAAATTCTGGATCAAGGGTAATGCGTTCACCATTCCCTCGCTGCTTGGCGTGCCTCCCGACTCTGAGCAGGCGCGTGCATTCGACGGTGCCAGCGTTGCATCATTCCGGTGTGTGTGATATTGTGCGTACTGCGTAATTTTCATTGACATCATATGGCAGGCTTGCACCTGCGGACTACCACCGATTCCATAGTCCGATCGACGGTTTGGTAGGTAAGATCACAGATATCAAGGGAGAGTACTATACAGGTACATGTCTTTCGGTTTTTAACTACGGACATTAGTGGATAATGTTGGCGCACACAGTGAATCCTCAAGCCGTGAACGAGAAAGGATTTGACGTCTTCACTGCCAACAGGCGTGCGGTACTCTACATGACACATTCGGCGTCTGGCCAGCCGATCGCGTTTGTCGCTATTGGGGCGATGCTGGTACATATTCTGTGCTTGCATATGTGCTGTATACTGATTTCATGGAATAGGTGGGCTCAATCGCGTGGACTGCTGGTGCAAATCTAGGCGCCGAAGTGCGACGTGGAGATGAGTTGGGCTACTTCGCGTACGGAGGGAGCACGGTTGTTGCGCTTTTTCCGAAAGGTCTCGTGACGTTCGACGAAGATCTTGTTAACAACTCGCAGGTGCCAATTGAGACTCTTGTTAAGGTGTGTCCCGAAATCCTATATTGCTGCCCATGCTTCTCCAGGGAAGCTTGGTGAAGAGACGACCTACTCATTTGTATGTCACACAGGTTGGGTCCTCTCTGGGACGTGCGTCCTTCTAGGTATCTGAATCTTTGCTGAGTTCTTGGAGGTTTTTTGAATAAGAAATATGTTATCAGACATGTCGTGTTGTCTGTGTACTTTATGGATTGTAGCGACATTGCTGTAGGACACGCAGAGAGAGTGTAAGACACTTTGCTATAGGAGAAGGATTAGTTAGCGCATATATGATGTGCTTTACAGCAGTACAGATTGGCTTGGAATATATTCTTCAGAAAAGGTTTCATGAACCAAAGTGTGTAGTGAAGAAACCAATCGATATTTTATACAAACCTTTCGCTTTGAATCATCGCAGTCTATTTGCACGGCTGACACCTGACGTATGCGCAATCAAAGCGATTGTATACTCCGTGAATCCTCGATATCCACTAGCTATGCCCAGCTCATCCAAAGTAATCCAGCGGGTACCCCACAAACTCGCACTGCTCCTGCTCCGCAAATGCCGTCATAAAGCTCTGGTACTGAAGTGTCCTGAGCGGCGTGGTCGTCAGCGTTTCATTCGTGACGGGTAGCCACTCGTCCTGCGATGTGAGCGCCTCCAGCTGGCTGGTATATCCACGGACCAGTAGGTACGCAGGGTCGGGATTCGGGTTGTACGTACGCACAAAGGCCGTCCACACATCGACCATCTGCTGTGAGAAAGGCAGGTCCTCATCATCACGGTACGGCAAAGAACTGGCCAGGTTGGCGAAGACGAAGTAGAGCTCCCCGGAGTGGCATCTGCAGATCAACCAGCAATGTTACTGCCCAATGGTGGAGATTAGTGGCTTTATGCACTCACTTGAAATATTCCATGGAAGGGTCGCCGTACGGGTACTCTGCAGTAATTGGCGCGTCGCAGACGGGATAGTTCGGCGAGAACCCAGGGGTCTGGTAGCTCCTGTTGAATTGATAGAACCAGATGCTCTCGAACAAGTCGTGCTTCAAAGCAGAGTATGCAGTTGCTTGGTCCAAGCAGCGGAATTCGATATCTGTTGCTACTCTTGCTGTCAAGTTAAACACGTCAAGTGTCGCATTGGGACCCGTAGGGGGAACGAAAAGCGAGCTATTTGCTACGGTCGTAGGGAGGTATTGGTCAATTAGCGCTTGGGTGATATTTGTGGTCGTCTATAACGAGGTAAGCGAGTGTTTAAAAAGAAAATAGCTGCGCACTGGGTAGCCTATAAATGCAGCTCCATCGTCACGCATATAACCCATCAGCGTATGGACATTGGCAACAGGAGCCGACCCGTTCAATGGTAGCTCGTCGTGAGTAATGATGGTGCCGTCAACAACGATGAACCTAGAGGATATTAGCTGGAAGCCTGACACACAAAAAGGATTTCATCGCACCTAGCTACATTCACTAGATTCACAAGATCGTACGCGTCGTATGCTGTGAGACACGCCAGAGCGTTTGTGATGTTGCAGCCAATCTCCTCCAAGATCGGGTACACCGCCGCCTGGACTTCTTCTGGTATAGTATAGTAGAGCGAGTATGTCGTTGCATAGTCTGAACCGGCGAGATTACTCATCGGGATAGCCGCAGCGTATTTCCCAATCGCCTCTGGAGACCCGAGAAGCGCACGCACCGACGCCGCGCCGGCGGATCCACCGCAAATCGTAATACGGTTCGGGTCACCACCAAAGGCAGTGATATACTCTCTCACCCAATCCAGTGCAGCAATCTGGTCTGCCAAGCCGAAATTTCCGTTAGTCTTTCCATCCTCCAACGCCAGGAAACCCAGTGTAGAAAGACGATAGTTGATGGTGACGACGACAATATCCCCTCGTGAGACCATGTTTCCACCGGCAAGAGAAGGATCTGCGCCGGTTCCACTCGTGAAAGCACCACCGTGAATATAGAACATGACCGGCTTCAGGTTTTCCTCGGAGACAGTGGCTGCATCCAGAGGTATGTATGGAGTCCAAATATTGAGGAACAAGCAATCCTCGCTACTGTCTGGGGCACCTGCCTGGACACATTCTGCCCCGTAAGCTGTAGCGTTGAGCGTCTTTGATCCTGAGTAGGTAGTCGGATACTAGAAACGGACGGGGGGATCAACGTAAGGGATTCCTTCAAAGCGAAACGAGAGTTGGTCGCGGTATCTGAGGCAAAAAAAAGGTCCATGAGACATGAATATTATGAGGTCCCGATAAATCCACGAATACGCACCCCGTAACAATCAGGTCGTTCGCGTACACGGTAAGCAAGTTCGCCGAGTCTGCGGATGCGTCAAAGGCAGAACTCTGGCTGCACAGGGTGGGCAGCTCAATTTCGCAAGAAATCTGGCCCACGTATCCCAAACTATCGACAGCATTGCATGCCGCTGCATTAGACTCTACCCAGTACAGCTGACTTTCACTGTATGCGCCTTCGTAGACTTGATATTGGAGTAAGGTCGCCAACTCTGTTGTGAAGAACGTCTCGTTCACAGGTAGCAACGTCTCGCTAAGTCCCGCGCATGATGAATCGGCGTCTGGTTGTGACCGAGGAGTCAAAAGTAATACTCCCTTGTGCTGAGAGACGGTGTTTACTAATTTATGCAGTTAATGGCAACGCTTGTCAATCAAGAAAACAAAAACATACTATCGAGATCGTTGTAGTACAAAAGCGTGATGTCGCTATTGATAGAAGACGTGGATGGCGCAGCGAGTACTTTCAAAAAAGGGAGCAAGACTAATAGCCCCAACCCGAGAGTAAAGAACCTCATAGCGCGCCGATCTTAACAAAGGTCAGAGACGGCGGTCTTGTTCATTGCAGTCTCTTATACTTTGCAATCGAAGTCTCAAGATTATCTAGCCTGAGCATTCAGTAAGGCAGTGATCCGAAATAGACGTTATTTGTACATGTGAATAAGGCATACTCAGAAAAAAAAATGCCGCACCTGTGAGAGTCCTATAGGAAGCGGAGAAACAGCGAGAGAAGCTTGGATCATAGGATGACCCGCAGCATCGTCGAGATATTGTCGGAGAAAGGTTTACCAGCAGCTGACCAGTAGCTGAGGGCTTGTATCGAGCTGTGGTGACATGAAGTCAGCGACAATGGCGAAGAAAAGGATCCACTCGCTTCAAACTATTAGTACTAAGAAGTATCAGGTAGTGAGACTCGAAGCGATCAAGCAACGAGAGCCTCGCCGAGCTCGGTGAATAAATTCAGCAACTCTTAGAATCTCGGAGAAGGCGCTGATCATGAATGGATGTATCCCCAGCTCGGATCAAATTCGCAGTACTTCTAGAAGGAAGTGCATGACCTACAAGGCTACACGCGGAAGTTCATACACTTCGTAAATACATCTTGAAAAAAATTGGCGTGTAATTTAGATGAATGCCGCCTCGATAGGATGGCATTGAAGGTTTCGGAATGGTTGGAAATTGGAATAAGTAGTGGTGTTGATCATTGTTTCGCAACTGTACAGGCCTATGTCTCGAATTGGTCTTGGTAATCCCGAGGTAGCAGCTTCTCTCGAATTGCATTCTCGTATCGGAGGTTTTTGATGAGCATTTACATCGCATTCCCGCGCCGGGGACTTAGCATCCGAGTACCGACAAGCTAGAAGCTTGTGACAAAGTCAATGTAGATGGAAGTCAAGATACCAGCACTGATGACAGCTGGGCATTAAGCACAATTACAGAATGACATCATCAGTCGCCCAGCGCTCGTAGATTTGCGCACATAGGTATTCACGGTTTCGAAAAAGTAGGAGTGGCTGGAGTGGGATTTCAACGTTTTGAAGTAGCAGAGAGGAATTTGCAAGATTAAAAAGCAGCCCGAATGTGACCGTGATGCTCTTGAGCTTGAGCCGTCGCGCGCAGCTTTTACAAGTTACCCCTTGATAACAGTCGGAAGACTGATTAGAACGTATCGTCCCATATTCACGGTGTGGCCGTGACTTAGATAAGAATGTGTCGTTGTCAAGTACTGTATAAGTACACTATTGCATGATCAAGTTAATGCGGTGGCTGGCTGCGTGATACGTGAGAAAGTCAAGCCCGCCGATCGCGATTAGTGCGCTTTTCCTGTTGATGCGCGCAACCTGCACAGTGCAGGCTGCCTGTGCAAGCTCTTGCCTAATGAACGCGCAATACCTATATAACTTGACTCGACCTTTCTCATTCAATTTATAAGCAACACGATGAACGGTAGACGACGAAAGATACTCTGTGGCACCACTGAAAACCCAGATGAAATCAATGATTTCGAGTATATGTGGTACAACTTCAGACACTATGGTTGCAGCACGGGGTTGCAAGTAGGATGGTGATGATTTGGATCGCGAGATTACAGGTACAGACTCTCCTTCAATTTAACTCGCCTTTCTAATGCTCTAACCTAGGGCTGGGCCGCCACTTGTCAACTGGTTCCTCTTAACAAGCGAAATCCTCGGAAGGGGAGGACGAAGAGTTATGAAAAAGTGTGGAAGTGGGATCGCGGCGAATCGCTACTATGTCTTCTTTCCAAACGACTCGTATATTTATGATCTTCAGGGGCACGCTGGCTGTAGAGACACCAATCATGGTGGATGTATTAGATAAGTAGATTAAATGAGGACGAGGTAAATATCCACTGCTAAGCTTTTTTGAGATTGCTGGCTAATGTCGTAACAAACAGAATTATAGCTACAGGCTATCGTTAACACATCGCCGCAGATGCTATCTAGCATTGTCGCGTGCGGCTTCTGAGACCCTACGACGATCTATCAGCAATCCAACACACTCAGACTTCAGCCATGGCACACACCGGTCACCATATGGTTACTTCCTCGATGATCGGTGGGATCATCCTCCATATATATGCCAACTGCGGGATCAAGTTGTGATCACCATCGAACGTGGCGTCTTGTACGATGAGGTAGTCGTCCTCCCTCCCCCAACGTGTCGCACCCAAAAATGGGCGAAGGTCAGTTTCGGGACCCCACACGTCGTTTGCCTCTGCGTGGCCTGTCGCTTGAAGTCCGACCTTTGGCCCGTCGATCCACACTGGGTTCAGAATGGTCCCTAGGTGAAAGCTTCGACCCTGCATCGCGCATGAACATCGAGGTGAGTAATTGTGCTTTTATGTAAAAATACCCACGACTGACCGGTGTGGCATCGTCAATGTCCTCGACTTCGAATATGCTCTTCGGTAGCATGTCTTCGATGTCTTTCCGCCATAGTTGATCTGGAATGGGCGTGCTATTCAGCTCTACCCGTTCCCGTACGTTTCGCGGCCATTTGCCCTAATGTGAGGTAAGCACCCAATCTAATATGCAAATGTCTTACTTGGTACTCACATCCTGGTAATCTGCTATTGTCATATTAAATTGGGTGCTTGCAGATTCTCTAGCGGTGATATTGTAGTCGTCATTTGCAAAATCCTCAGCTAAGCGAGAAGGAGAATGGGGTATGTCCTGAGCGTTATGGGTCGTCTGAGCAGCGCCGTCTGAGCATCGCAGGTTCAGTGTACGACTGAGAGTAGCAGAAGACATGAGAATGTGGGCTACGAGAGACTAGTTTTTATCCAACTTGGGATAGAGTGTGTAGCCAACCCGGAAGAGTAGGGCTGCAAGACAGGGATATGGTCGATGGGTTGTGAAATCAGGAGGGAATTTAACCCGGAGAGTTTATATATCAGGCGCTTATGAATTCAACTCAACTGTGGCGCACGATAGGCTCGTGGTTTGAGGCTTGTTCTCCATCAGGATAATGTATCAACTTCTTCCGCAGGTTTATCGTATGACACATTCTGTACGCGAAGCAGACTGTTCGGACTCCCGTAAGGACCGGATATCCGCGGAGATTTACTCTTCTGTCATGCACAAAATACATGAATGCTCTGAGTAGGCACAAGGTGGGTGCTTAGTCTTTCTTCTGTACAGAGTACGTGCTCAGGGATCAGAATAGTCTCGTTACTCCGTGTTATTGACGTTGGTTGTCGCGGCACTTCATCCCTGAGATTTTTTACGCTATCTGCATTGTTCAATCATCGAACAAAGCAGAAAGTAAGAGTAGAACCTGGCCTCAGCTTCAAACATCCTTGGATAATTTAGGAGTCAAACAATTATGAATCAACGCCGTCAGAAAAGTGGCGCTCTACGATCGGTTTTTGTTCCGTGTATGGTCAATGAGCGGACAGTAATATTTGAGGGTCAGTATTCTGCACACCCTTTGTTCCATTCACTCGGCGAATTCACGGTGGATTCACCATTCAACTCTCATCAAGCAACTGGGCTAGATCCACACGTTTTGGACTCTGGTCGGAATCTTCTTCGGGAAGGCAGTGATACTAATGTGCCCGATGGACGTATTTACGACATCGTTCTGTCCTTCTCGCCCACTAGTGTGTGACTACGCAACGGCAGGCGAGGCGTCCATGCACATTGTGTGTCCGTTGGCGCAGAGACGGTTCGACATCAGTAAACTTACGAAGCTTAAGGAGGAGACATATGTGACTGAGTACACCATAACATTGCGCGTCGAGCGAATGATCTTTGAATGCATTGAATGTGTGATTAGAGGAGACTTGACAAGGAAAATCACAAGAACAAACAGGACATCAGGAAGTTACCGGATGGTGGTATTTATGCCAGCAATTACTTGTGGACAATCGATGTAGCTTGTCGGCCTCAAGTCTCGACTCCCTCAAGACTCATAATGAAAGGCCTTCCTGTTTCCGAATGCAAAATATACTTACACCGAACAGCTACTGTTCGAGTGGCTGACTTCTAATCTAGGCAACAACAAAAAGATTGTGTGTTCTTGCGAGAATGAGTCTACGAGTGGGCCAATCAGGTCCTCAGGCAACTGCCGAACCGTTATCGCCTAACACGTAGTCGTTCGTTAGGGTGCACTGTGGTGGCACCTGCCGAACTGCCCGTCTGTCTTCGCCACGTCTTGCGTCGTATGAACATTCTCTGGGACTGTATTGTGACAGGCATACTCTTACCGAAAATCTTTGAGACGAAGGTAGGATGCGCCACCCGCTAAGAATGAAAGGCGCGGGCAGTACTATCACAGATCAATTTAATTTTACAAACAGGGAGAGATAGAAGCCAATTCGTGTGCTGTGGGTCTCCTCTGCGTTTGCATTACATTCTCTGCTCCTCTTCAGCTTAATTCCTGCCGCAAAATCCAAACCGCGTCTATCATCATGTAGCTGGGTATGCCTTCCCTGATGTTTCCTTCCAAATACTCACAAGGTAGAAGACGCACTCCTCTTTGGCGGCTATGATGGGCGTGATCAGCACTCAAGCTCTACAAGATGCAGCAAAGTCGTCGAGAAACACTAACGCAGTCTTTCTGTGCACTCGCCGATGGCAAACATCCATCAAAGTCTGCCCGCAGTCACATGAGACGGTAGGCCAATTATCGGGGCTGATGAGCGGCGGCAGAAGAAAAGCATCAGGGTTCGATAAGCTATCTTTGCTGGGCCATATTCTCTGCTTTGCCTGCTGCTCGTATCGACTGACGAATGGATGAGGATCATAAGCCGAGTGGCCTAACTACCAACGATCCTCTGACTGATGCCCACCCTCGATGTATCAATCCAGGTTGAGCTTAGGATCGTCTCGATGTGAGATGCACAGCCCTATGAGCAACTGAGTCGGATTTTTTAGTGTTGGCCAATATGCACCTCACCTATGGCGTCCGATCCTGGTCATCAGATTCTTTGACATCTTCAATGTAAGTCAGCAACGACACCTCTATCTCCCGCCCCCCATACTGGTCGGGCGCCGGAGTGCTTCGTCCAAGCGAGCACCTGAAGCAAGGCCCGGCCCACGAACACTGAACGGATGGTAAGCGTTAAATTCGATATGCATATGTGAAGGCTTTGCACTCACGGCTTGGTATTTCATCATCGCCATATCGAATGTTTCGCCTGCAGCCATAGCTTCTATGACACGCCAGTAGGCAGAAAGCAATCAGGATTATGATTGTGCGATGTATATGACTGGGTGAGCATCATATATTGGAGTCTTTTGCAGCTTGTGACTTGAGATTGAAACAGACATGGCAGGGGCTGACTCTATATAAAGGCGATAACGAAGAGCGTCGCGACGGGGACGGGAGGCGAATGAAGGTTGGGGCTTCTGGTCGGGTTAGACGAAAATTATGAAGGTCGACTGAAGAGGGGCAGAGCCCCAGACATTTATGTCCTAGCGTTTATCGGCTCTGGTGCACGATGTCTCTGCATTGTTCTCGTCCTCCTAAATCATTGTTCGTGGGTGTCCTCCTTTTTGCATTGGCCCAGGATTGGGGTCCCAATAGCTTCTGATCCTGATGACCATTCCATTCATCAACAGCAGGAGCAATTTTCGCGAAGCGACGTCCTTCACCGCCTCGCGGCTAGATACCCACCCATTAGGCCTATACTTCTGACACACAGGTGAATGTGATCGAACGATCCAATGATTCGGCTTCAAGAAAATATTGCACGTTTCTTTCTGACACGGGTCCTCCATGATGTTCTGAGTTCAATTATCGATCATTTGTCTACTCCGACACCTTTCATCACGTTTTACTCAAGACATTACACCGTCAGTCGATAGCGCCAAGCTACTATGACCAGCATGACCGTACATATAACACTGTTGTTAGCCGGCGAGATCGTCTAGTCTCTCCGCTCTCGCTCCCCATCGTCTAGCTGACAACAGAACGAGAATGAAAGACACCGCCGATAATGGCGTGCTAGGATTTGTACTGTCCCAGTGCAGGCTACGACGACACCTGGATACAATTCTTGTGCCTCCAGCTTTTGAGGCATTCGTTGTCTATTGTAAGAACTTGAACGTCGTCGTGCCACGGTCGTCGATCAGCTCAGTCGTTGTCTTCGACGGCCGTTGTGCACTACAGTGATGATTAAACACTCTCGAACAAACACTATCACTGACGTCGTTTCCGTCTGTCCAGACATCGTCGTCAATCCAATCATTCTCATCTTTTGCAACATGAGTAACTTGCACCGATCCTCAAGAATCCGCCTGAAGCATTTGCGAGAATATGCTAGCGTGAAAGAGGCAACAGGAGATATTTCCATAGTGCGGACGTTACTTACGACGCGGACAATCCGACTCGGAACAGCTCTACGGCTCTCAGCCATCTGAGTCCTACAAGCATGGTAAGTGACGAAATATTCACGCATGAAGGTTATCGATGGCTTACATCTTCGCTATCATCTCTTGCAGCAACATTCTCTTGAACGTCCAGTTTTTTTCGAAGTGCTCGCTGTTTGTAATGCTGGGTCGCGGTTCCATCACTGAGAGGTCCGACCATGGATATAGATGGAGAATGCGGGTTTCTTTTCGTCGGCATAAGTGTAGAAAATATTGACAGGGGATTCAACAAGTCTGAGATTGTCGACGTGGCCAGGCGTTAGCTTGAGGTAACTAAAGTGGTATGCTCTACAGTTCTTGAGGCTCCGAAAACGTTGGCTGAAGACTGAGAATTGTTCATGTAATCGGATCATCAATGTTAGAGGTAACAAAGATGAAGTTAAACCATGGACCAGACTTGCAACATCGGCGCTTGCAGCGCCCAATGTCGGGCTACTAATAGTCGGCTGTGTGGCGGCCTACCCTTTTGTGTATCTTCCTTTGTATTTTGATGACGTAGCAATCTATGTCCCCATTCTGTTGGATCTGTGTGTTCCTCGATCGTTCCCCAACGTTTAGCCGGCTCATGTTTTTTACGTGCGATGCCAGTGATTGTAACCAACGGACTTCGCTAGTTTACTTGGAGACTTTCATAGCCTCCGAGTTGCTCCTCAATCGTCAACACTTCATTGCAAGGGGCTGGGGGCGTGATTCCCGAATTTATGTGACTGGTGACAATGGTTCAATCATCAGTCCTACGTCGATCATCAAAGTCTCCTCGAGATAAGCTGCATCCCTGACTTGAGGCGGCGTCCATGATGCAAGCCATATCACACGCAGCTTGTTGTCGTACCGCATGGTGAACTTTTACTCAATTATGATTACGGGAATTTACGGTTGCGCACTCGGACGTGTCGAAACTCGACAAATGAATCTCTCAACCTCGAACATACTTCTTGTGACACGGCGTCTCATGCATTACTTAAGATGTTTTCATAAGTACTGACGCAAGATCATGCGAACATAGCAAAACTTGAACGATCGCCGACAAGTATACGCAGGCAACGTATTCAATACTGGGGATACAGTGGGGGCACTACTTTCGTTTCCAATTTAGCGACGAGACCTCAGTCTTGGACTTAACCGGCAACTTTGGTGTTTTCAAGAGGGAAAGTAGGGGTAGGATCCCTGTGGATAGCATGTGTAACTTATGATGCAAGAATACTGTGTTATTTACTCACCCGCTTCCGAGCACTGGCGAATGCAGTGACGCCGATACCAAGGGTAAATCTTGGAGAAAATCGATGAGCTCACACGTACATATTCTTTATATCAGCCAAAAATCCTAGCGAAACATCCGTCGTGCTTCTTACATTGGAGGATGCTATCTGGAACTTAATATTTGAACCACAGCGTAGGTGACCGACTGGCTTTGGATAAACCATCTAGATGTTCTTGAACAGAAGTATGCAGTGAGACAAACACTTCCGAGCGGACATTCACTACATATCTCAGCATTTTGCTATAGCACAGCCCACACCTTGCATAACGTGCTCCGCTCTACTAAGCTGCGTTCCAGACCCTTATCCTGCGCTGGACCCTCAGACCCAACCTGCAGCTCTCTGCCCGAGCAGTGAGCACCCATTGACAAGTCTGGGCTGCAACTTGGCAGCGACTCAGGAACTTAAAGAGATATCACCTCGACTCCAACACAGAAAATTTAGCGCATTCTTTGTGGGTCCATCAATGTCATGATGATCTTCAATGTCCACCAAGAATGCCCAGTGACTGAGCCATGAATATAAGCTTGAATATTGAATGTGAACTGCCTGCGAAACCTGCCTTCATCTTGTGAGTCATCAGTGCCAGTGAGCGAAGGGCCATGGCAACTATTAGGCTAGCGAGGTCAAACAAAGCACTCTACAACTTTGATAGGCTCTAGCGATAGACGATCGCATTACAGATAAAGTATGTATGCGGTAATAGCAGGAGGAAGAGGAATTATCTAAATAAGCTCAAGGGCGCGCCCCCAGCGATCAAACCAGCGCGCTTGGCCGGTCTCACATGTCCCTCCTCTCCAGCCTTCGATGGCGACCTCGGCTTTCTCAACTCTCCCAAGCATGTCGACAAAAACATAAACCCAAGCTTCTTCTTTTTTCGCTAAACTTTCATATACATATGAGTGCTTGTTTTTCAGAGTATGCTCCTCGCAGCAGGTCTAGGTCAAATGGCTATCTAACGTCTGCAGTCAGCGCATTCCACAGGTCGACTATCACCCTGGTGCTTCAACAGCCCCTAGTGATATTATACGCGTCAGACACTTGTCTTTTCTCGCTCGATTTACCGATGGCGCACAGTGGCCTGCCAATGGGCCAGAGGGGACCCTCCAGCCAGTTCTCGTCTCGCTGTCTATGGCACACAACACACGATCGACGGCTTCTGCAGACGACCTCTCATCCTCCATCGACTATTCTTCCGTCTTGGCCTCCCTAGTTGACAACGGTGGCTCTCAGACTTTCTCGTCCATGGAGGCCCTAAACGATTGGATTACCGAGAGATGTTTCCACCTTTACCCAGCGCTGCAGCGATTATCAGTCGACGTAGCAAGACCAAAAGCGCTTTTACACGCGAGTACTGCAGGAATGATAGTAAGCAGGAGTCGATCTAGCGCGGACAAGCAGGTGCGGTACTATATGCACGGTCTGGAGTGCCAAACCATCATAGGCGTGAACAATTGCGAGCGAGAAGAGAAACAGCGCGTGCGTTTTAACATCTTGCTAAAGAGGGAAGATAGGCATACGCTGCCGCTCGATTTTAAGGACCTTGCTAGGGCTATCGCCAAGGTGCGCGGGTAGCCCCGCTCTTCCTGTATAAGAATGCTTACCCACTGTATTTCAGGGCGTCGAAACATCCTCCTACCTGACTCTCGAGGCACTAGCGTCGTCTGTTGCGCGCTCGGTACTGAATCATTCGGGAACGGAAAAAGATTATGTCACAGTTCGTGCTGCGAAACCGAGCGCGCTCCCCCTCGCAGATGCTGCAGAGGTCGAGATTACTCGGACTCTACACGACTACAAAGATACCATCGTCAACACATTGCACGACTCGCTCCGTGCTCCCGTCATGGCGGTTCCCTCTCCGACTTTGACGACGCTGCTCGCTGAACAAACATTTCGTCACGGATCCGCATCATTCAAGCACAGAGCCGCCATCGCACTTGGAGCCAACATAGGCGACCGCTTTGCCAACATTGAGCTAGCACTGAGGCTCCTAGAAGCTCCAATGGGATCTGGCTCGCCTCGCGCAGCCATTGTCGACACTTCATTCATGTATGAAACTGCACCCATGTATGTTACTGACCAGCCTAAATTTGCTAACTGTGCCTGCATGGTTTGTGACATGCTCTTTGCGTGTATGCTTTACCACTCACTTTGCATAGATTGAAACCGATATGGCGCCTCTGGAGTTGCTCAAGCGGGCCAAAGAGATTGAAAGCATCGTCGGCCGGATAGCGTCTTTCCGGAATGGTCCTCGAGCGATTGATGTCGATATCCTCACATTCGATTCGTTGATTATGGATTCACGGCTAGAGCCTGCAAGAGGTTCCCTTGATAACTTGGAGGGCGAATTGGTGATTCCGCATCCACGAATCGCCGAGCGTGAATTTGTTCTACGCCCTCTCAACGAGTGAGTTTGATGAAGACCGTTAACTCTGGGTGCCACTGACATACAGCCTCAGTATGGTGCCCGACTATGTCCACCCAAAGCTGGGCAAGTCTATTCGCCAGCTTTTCACAGAGCTTTCATGTGAGCAACCAGCGGATTCTGCACCTATGTGCAAGGTTATGCCCTTTCCTCGCTACCCCATTTCTGCCCCTTCTGAGTCGCAGCCTTTTTCTCCCACTTTATCAAATATCCCAACAGTCCCATCCACTGCCACATACTGGAAATTCCCACTTTCCTCCACGACACCTATTGCGGATCAGAAGGTATATATTATGGGTACACTTAATGCCACGCCAGACTCGTTCTCGGATGGCTCTCTGCATAACACTGTTGACACCGCGCTCGCCTATACTCGAAGCGCTGTTGCCAATGGCGCCGACGTCATCGACATTGGCGGGTACTCAACACGCCCTGGTGCGGAGTACGTTTCCCCCGAAGAGGAACGTTCCCGTGTCGTACCCGTAATCGAGACAATTCGAAATGATGCCAAGGTCGCCGACGTCCTCCTTAGCGTGGACACCTTCCGCGCAGACGTCGCATCCGCGGCGGTGCTTGCGGGTGCGAACTGCATCAACGACGTTTACGCGTTCACAGGGCCGGAATACCCACTCACACCCGCGTCGGCTGCGCACTTCCTCCGCATGCGTGCCGTCGCGCGCAATCTCGCGGTCCCCGTCGTTCTCATGCACTCCCGCGGAGAAGCATCAGCGAACAAGGACTACTCCACATATGCAGACGCGCATGGGCGCGGCGCCGTGCTCGAGGGTGTTCGAGTGGAGCTTGGGGAGAAGGTCGATGCCGCGGTGAAGGGCCCCGGCGGCCTCAGGCGGTGGCTGGTGCTCGTCGACCCTGGCATTGGCTTCAGCAAGACGGTAGAAGGGAACATCGAACTGCTCGGGAATGCTGCACGACTGACTGCAGAGCCTTTATCTGGCAGAAGAAATCTGCTCGCTGGGTACCCACAACTGATCGGTACGTCGCGAAAGTCGTTCCTGGGTGCCATTCTGGCACGGGGAGATGGTGCGGGTGGGTACATGGGGAGAGAGACGAGGCCGGACGAGAGGGGCTGGGCGACAGCAGCCGCGGTGAGCTGTGCGGTACGGCAGAATGCGGCGGTCATCCGCGTGCACGATGTGCTCGAGCAGGGCGATGCTATCAGAGTCAGCGCGGCAATATGGAACCAACCGGTTTTGTGCAACTGAAAAGTGAAGGGCGTACTCTACACGATCACGATTATAGTCTTTACTACTCTCTCAATATCTGAGTCGTTGCTAACCAGATTGAACATTGTAGACCTACTACCTGGAACGTGCTTGTCACTTTGCTCTACGCTTTGACTTCCCTGAGACTTCCGACTAAACAAAGGCTTGTCTGCGCCTTGCTGTGCACGAGACGCTTGGCGCTTGAGCAGGCTGGCGGTAATCTGTGGTCTGCTTCCACTACCTTGCATAAACGGCCACGATTTATTCTACGCTTTGCTGATCATTTGTGTATTCTACCTTCTCAGAGAATGCAGCTGAGGTGAGTGGTCTTTGTGCTGTGTCTCCGCAGCTCCTGAGACAATGCCTATAGATGAGGATTTGGAACAAGTAGAAAGTCCGCATCCAAACAGAAAACGTACCGGACAAGCCACGCGCAGCGAGGGTATGTCGTCAATACTCCCATGGCCATCATTCCATGATATGCACACATTCATGATGCATACCGTAGCGGATGCGGAGCAAGCCAAGAGCATGGATGCAGTGACTCTTAGGAAAGAATCATGGAGTACCGCGCCAGCACGCTGTCACCCCACTCGATGTGTATGAGGCGACCTATGGAAGATGATATTGTGCGAAAGCAGCACCAAAGCAACGAGAGGCTCAACTACAACCCCGTTTTCTTCCAGGACTTCCACGAGACCTGCGCACATGTCCATCGACGAGGGGCACATGGCTCGCGCTTCTCCCATCCGGGAGCAATTACGGTGTGGAATATGCGACACTGTGGGTCCTAACGAGCAGGTGACAACCATCCGCACGAAGTGGACACCTTCTAGCATGTGGAGGGGTTGGAAAAGCGATTGTTTTTATTGACATATGTATAAAAGAGAATGGGAGTGGATTGTATAGGGATGATGCAAAGAAGAATTCCGTGGGTGGAGATACCGAGAACCGAAGTTTGAAGCGTAATTACTAATCTTGTCCGACAGGTTGCGCGCTCTGTAGTCAAACCTTCCGGGAAATAGCTTACACAACGCACTCCGAAGAACCCTTGATGCTAGCGGCGCACATGGACTGAGCAAAGAGACATGAACCATTCTACTTACCCGCTTGATTTGGCGGTGCGGATCAGCGCATGACCGGCGCGTGAGCGGCGCTCTCCGAAAGTCTGGAGCCTCGTCGTCCACAGCTCATATTCGGATTCTTCGTCGCTGTCTCTGCTCCAAATCGCCCCACTTGTCGCACTCTCACGGCATATAAGAGTCCGCTGCAATGCTCGTGTTTCGCCTGCCCTCTCTCCAACAGGATCGCCGTTGCTGTTCACTAACGCCTCTTCAACTCCCTGGTTCAAAAATTAGCCATTAACGCAAAGATGTTCATGAAGCTGACCTCTCTTTTTGTCCTCGCGGCCGCGTGCTTCTGCGTCTCCGCCCAGAGCTCGACCTCTGCTCCCTCCGCCTTGCCCAGCATCGATGCATGCACCCTCTCTTGCATCGAGAGTGCGGCTACGTCCAACGGGTGCTCAAGCTAGTGCGTTCTTCCACTTCTTCCACCGGCTGGCCCGTGTTATCGACGTATGATGTATATATGCAGCACGAACCTGTCCTGTGTGTGTACCTCTACCGCCTTCCAGACATCTGCACGCTCCTGTCTCCAGGCCAACTGCACGTCCGCGGACCTCCAAGCTGCTGAGGCGCTCCAGTCTACCGAATGTGCCGCTGGTGCGTTTTTTTTTGATTGCTTCCGCGTTTTATCTCCCTAATTCCACTCAATAGCGAACAGCTCTTCTTCCGCCGCGTCTTCTACTTCTACCAGCGGAAGCTCGACGTCCTCCGCGCCTGCCACGACGAGTACCACCACAAAGAGCGGCGCGGGCCTCGCTGGTGTGGATGCTCATGTGGTTATGGGCGCGGCCGTGGCGATGGTTGGCATGCTTGCCGGGATGGGTCTGGTGCTTTGAGCCAAAACACGAGATTCATGAGCTGAGTGGGCCCAGGAGACGGGGACCTTGTACTATCCAGACATTTCGAGTTATTGTGTGTGTAATTCCCGTTCTCTTCTGTCGTAGCTATGGCTATCGAAGAGATATGTACCATCTTCTGAATGATCAGATTTCGCGGACAGGTTATGAGTAGAGCTGCACTAGGATCAGTCAATATAGCCCAAGCTTGGCGCTGCAGATCGGCCCGGCCCGTAAGTGAGGCGCCACGACGCCTCAACTCGTCTTTCGACTTCAACCTTTACTTCACAAAGACAGGGATGTCGCATTCCAAATCCCATCCTACACGGACCGCGCGCATACAGACAATCCGGCTGGCATACTAGATTTCCTTGATGCGCCTAAGCTGGACCGTGTCGCTGCTACTACACACTTAAGTTTCTCAGTACTGTGGGAGCTGATCCGGCTCACTGGGCGTGGCCTCGTTCCCCAGACGTGTGGAAGGGGATGCCGCATGACCGTATACACAAATTATCCGCGAGCAGAGCACACAACCTGCAGACGAGTCGCTAGCTTGGGTCAGAGTGGGATCGAAGAATGCAGTATGCGAGGTCTGTTTTGTTTTGTCTCTTGGTTCACATGTTCCAGTTCTCACAAATTTTTTTGGATAACGCGCCGGTTGACTCTATCTCCCCACATTTGCAAGCAGCTTATAGACTAGCATCAACACGGAAGTGTGCGGATATATGCGCCCCATACAGACATGACGACCACAACTTCACCACGTTGGAAACCGCGCTCACATTCGATCATACCGCCTCAACCTAGGCAGGCACACTACCAGTCTGAATCTCCAAAGCACATTAGCGACCACTATAGTCCTAAAACTCAGGCAAATACCTGCGCAGCAGCGCCTTATCAACAGCCATGCATGCTTCGAAGGCCAACTGTAGTGACAATTCGATCGATAGAATATACCCTCAAGCTGCCAAGTCGTACACACGTGTATGATACGACTCGTACATCTAGGAGCTCGCTTCCTGCCCGCGCCAACGTCATAGGATGTTCGAACGAGAACGGGTGACAGGTGAGTTCTACATAGCTACCCACCGGCCAACTACTCACCTACTAGTCTCAGCATGCCATCGACCTCAGTGAAATATGTCTCGAAAACGTATGAAGCTCCTACAACGCTCTCATTCAAGCAGCCTCCATTGTTCCGGAGAAAACCCTCGATGTTATATTCTCCGCTCAAGCGCCTCCAAATCGACATACGCGCGAATTATGCGAATGTATGAGTACATATTGGTAGGATGAAATCAGTGTATGCGTAACAAGTGAGTCGACTGTTAGGTAGCCATAAAGGGGATACATTTTTGATAGCACTAGAGCAGAAATCAGCCCCCCCCCCATTGTTCGAAGCAAAGTCTCCAAATTCCCAGTCATCATTGGATCTCACAACTTACATCGGGGAGAGTTCAAAGAACCAACCCCGCCCCGACAACCATACCGAGCATCGCCGCTGCCGCGCCGACGACAGCGCGTGCATTTATCTCCAGCGCACGTGCACTACTCGCCGTGCTCGTTGTAGCGGGTCCTGAAGTCGTTGCGCTTGTATGGGTGTTGGTGACCGACGACGCGCTGGAGCGTGCGCCCGAAGCGGCGGATGAGAGGGAGGAGAGCGCAGAAGACGCTGCCGATTTGACAGAAGACTCGGCAGACTTGATGGAGGCGGACGCAGACGACGCTGCGGAGACCGCAGAGCTGGACCTGTCCGAAACGGCAGAACTGGCGGCGACGGACGCGGAGCTGACTGCGGAAGAGGCTGCAGACGTCGCAGACGACGCGGAGGACACTGGGATAGACGGGCGGGTAAGCATAAGAGAGCGGGCAGTGAGCGGAGGGTGCAAGGACGTACCAGCAGCACACTCTGCTGACTGGATCGCTTGTGCAGCCGTGAGGTCGCTCGCAGGGCAGTTCGCAGCGAGACAGGAAGCCGCAGAGGACTGGAATGAGGAGGAGGAACAGACACAGCTCAAGTCAGTGCTGCTCCACCATGTCGTCAGCGGATGTACAGGGCAAGAAGAGTTGTATACGCACTAGCTGGAACAATCACTGGCACTTGTGGCGCTCTGGAAGCACGAGAGGATACATGCATCGATACTGGGCGTGGCAGCCGAGGTAGTGGTCGTGCTCTGCGCAGAGACGGAGAGTGTGGAGAGGCAGGCAGCCGCGAGGATAGCGAGGGAAAGCTGGTGGGTCAACATTCTCAGATCGTGGGCTTGGGTCGGGTTGAGAGGATGGGGCGGTGGTGAGTCCGGGAGAAGAGGACAGAATTGAAGGGGCGAGGCGAGCATTCTTATAGCGGACGAGAGCGCTTCTTCAGTGAAGCGTAAAGACGGTACCGTGGAGTGGTGCGGTCGCCCATGGCCGTAATGAGATGAAGTTCGAGATGCAGGCTCCTCAGAGGCAGCGACGTTGCGGGTGGTCTCGATCGTTCCACCCATCTTTGCTCCGGTCGCCCGCCTTCTGTCCGCTCTTCAGGCGCTCATCTTGCGCTGTACACTCTTCCAGGAATTGCTGCCCGCTGCTCGAGAGTCTGCCAACGCGCCAATCCAAGGGGCAGTGTATAGTAGCCGGTCTCGATTCCAGCGCTCAAGCTGCTATGAGACGCATGCATCCTGCCGGCCAATCCTGTCTTTGCACTCATCTTAACATCTTCTCCTGCGTATCGCCTCCACCATTCTTCGCGTGTTGCATCGCTCCCATTCATGCCAACGACATCACATCTCCCCCTTGGCGGGCACATGCGCGCATTGGTTCGCCACCTAATCCACATGCAGGATGCTCCATTATGACGATGACGAACGGCTATTCCCGTGTTTTGTTGGGAGTTCGTCATTGTGGTTTTGAGCGGGTATATGTAGACTCGCATATGCAATGTTAATGTGTATGTGGTACTGAACAGTTCACCGGCAGTATGTACTTATGTATGGCATTATATATAAACCAGGGCCGGGCCGGGTAGGCCGTAGGTGGGCAGGACCTGGTGACCATGCTACTCAACTCGTGCCTCCACCTCACAAGACCACGGATGTCCATGGCCACCAGGCTCCAGTCAGCCTGTTTGAAATTCTTTGAAAGTCTAGGTCGACACGGATTGCGCGCATATAGATGACCCAGCTGGCATACGAGACTCTCGACGGGTTTGCGTAAGTCTACTCCACAAAATTGCAATCCGTGCACGCTACCCGCAAACCACTGGCTTGGATCAGAAGAGTGCTGTGTGCGAGGTTCTATCTCCTGGGTTACATGCTCTAGTTCTCACAAAGGATCTGCTAATGGCACGTCGGTCGGCTCTATTCTGCTTCATGGGCAACTTACGCTGTTCCAGACTGAATACCAACGCAAAAGTGCATGGATATGCACGCTACGGACATGACAATCCCAACTTCCCTATATTGGCAGCCATGCTTGCGTTAGATTGTATCGCCTCATCTGAGAAGACACATGGTTGGCTCCAATGAGCACAGCTCAGCGATCACTGGGCTCCTTGAACTTACAGGCCAATACCTGCCGCAGCAACATCTGAGATGGCGTCAACTATAGAGGCAATCCAATCGATGTAATGCACTCTCAGGCTGCCCAGTCGCACTTCTGTTTGCGATTGTTTCCTGCCTGCGCAGATATCACTTTGGCACATACATTCCCTGATTCACAGAATGCTCAGACGAGGACAAGCGATAGAGGTGAATCCTGCATAGCTGACTACTGGCTAATTGCTTACATGCAACTCTCAGCGTACTATCGACCCAGCTGAATGGAATTTGTCTCGAAGACTTCTGGAGCTCCCACGATGTCCTTATTGAAGCGGTTATCACTGCCTCGAGAAAAAGTCTCCATTAATATGTTCGGCTCAAGCGTATCCGGATCAACATACACGCGAATTATGGGAATGTACAAGGGCACATGGCTGGCTCGAGAACCACCAGCACATGTGGTACGGGTAAGTCGATTGTTAGGTAGTAATGCGGAGAGGATATGGTTTTGACATTAATAATCCCAAAGTCGAAAACGCAGCCTCCCGAATTGTCCGAAGCAAGGTTCGCAAAGCCCCCAAAACGCTAGTATCATTTACGATTTACACCGGTGACCTCAAAGCACCAGTCCTGCCCCAAGAACCATCCCCAGTATCGCCGCCGTCGTGCCGACGACTGCGTGCACGTTGAGCTTTAGTGCCCGGGCGCCGCTGGCCGTGCTCGTCGTAGCGGGTCCTGAAGTCGACACGCCTGAGTGCGTGCTCGTTGTAGCGGATCCTGAAGTCGACGCGCCTGAGTGCGTGCTCGTTGTAGCGGGTCCGGAAGTCGATGCACTAGAGTGCGTGCTCGTCGTAGTGGGTCCGGAAATCGATGTGCTAGAGTGCGTGCTAGAGGGGGTGGGGAGAGAGGAGGATGCGGAAGACGCTACAGACGCGATGGAGGAGAGTGCAGACGAGTTTGCAGCAGTCACGGAACTGGAGCTGGAGCTGTCAGAAACGGTAGAGCTGGTGGTGGAGAGAGTAGAGCTGATTTCAACGGTCAAGGTCAACGAGGCGGACACTGGGACGGACGGGTGGTTCAGTTTACGAAACAAGGCAGAGGGCGCAAAGGACGTACCAGCAGCACACTCGGACGACTGAAGCGCTTGAGCGACCGTGAGGTCGCTCGCAGGGCAGTTCGCAACGAGGCAGGAAGCCGCGGAGGACTGGAATGAGGAGGAGGAGCAGACGCAGCTCAGGTCCGTGCTGCCCCATCGTGTCGTCAGCGAAGGTACGGAGGAGGGAGAGTCGTACACGCACTAGCTGGAGCAGTCGCTGGCACTTGCAGCGCTCTGGAGGCATGAGAGGATACATGCATCGACGGTGGGCGTGGCAGTTGGGGTGCTCAAAGTGGGCGTGGCAGATGAGGCGGTGGAGGTGGTCGTGTCTTGCGCGGAGGCGGTGAGGGTAGAGAGGCAGGCAGCTGCGAGGATAGCGAGGGAAAGCTGGTAAGTCAACATGTCAGGTCGTAGACTCGGTTTGGCTGGATGGGTAATTTTGAATCTAGGAGACGAAGGCGGACGTGGAGAGAGCAGGGCTGGTATTCTTATAGCGGATGGGAGCGTTCCTCTAGCGAGGTGACTGGAGACGGGACGACCAGCCGCGGTGGGATCGCTACGGTCGCTCATGACCGACATGGGATGAGACTTTGAGTCGCCTGTATCATTGCCGTGCATTCTCGGACTCGAGAGGCAGGTGCATTCATTCGCTACGGAGCTACTGCGGTGGTCTGTGGTGGTCTCGATCATTCCACTTACCTTGGCGCTTTGTGCCCGCTTTTTATTTCGCCATCGTTTGTGTGCTGTATGCACTGTACACCTATCCCGGGCCGCTGCTCAAGGATCCACCAGCGCGCCAACTTGGGTAATAGTCACCTTCTCAAACTGCTGTAGGAGCATGCGGAGAACTCTTTCGTCGCGCCTATCTTCTCAACATCTTCTCCTACCCATCGCCTCTACCATTCCCCAAGTGCCAACACATCTGCCCCTTGGTGGGCACATAAGCGCGCTGGTTCTAGTCCACATGGAGACCACTCCAGAATAACGGTGACGAATGGCGAGCCCAGGTCATATGTTCTCCGCGCTGAGGCTATGCATGTTGGATGGCGTATTGACAGCGTCTGCGGCATACCCATCTTCGGGGCGAACATGATGACGTGGATAGCTTCGCTCGACTTCAGCGACAGCTAGCAACAGTCACGACGGTCGTGCTCCTTGATGGTAGGACTGGTCTCGCGCTTTTGCTCGAATATCCTGTCTCAATGGTGCCACGTCTAGGCAACCTGGTCTCCCGTTTTCTTGCTCTGTGCTATACGCAGGGACCAGTGGTCATTGTTGTTCAATGTCCACAATGAACCACCCAGAACCATCCGACCATTCGACCACTGCGATCGATCTCGTTAGTTTTTCAGCTTGTCAGGGCACGCCCGCCATTTAGTTACCACTTCGGGTGTACAGTGGCCATATCTCCATGCATACAGATCCACGAACGTGTTGATTGTTTCCACATGCAATAGGAACTGACGATGTTCAGCGTGCAGATTATAATCGCCTGGAAGTCCAATAACATGAGCAATCTATGACCCGTCCCACCACTCGCCTCTCTTCAGAGCGTCCTGATGAATTCTTCGATTTCATTCCATGCGTTGGAATGACTCTGGAACCCTGCCAGGAGCCACCGCACTTCCTAATGTCCTGATTGGTTCTCATGATCTTTCTTGGTCAAGTCTCTTCTAACTACACCTTCAATCTATTCAAAAATTGTCCGCTCAATGCGCAATATTGATATTATGGTGCTACTCAGTGTATGTCAGTTCCTCAGGCTTCGTCTGTTGACGTCAAACCGTCTCTGCGCCAGCGGACACACGATGCGCATAACTGCCTCACCGGCCGTTGCATCGTCACACACCAGTGGGCGAGAAGGACGGAACGATGTCGTAAATACTAGTTTATCGGGCATAATAGCATCACTGCCTTCTCTGAGCAAATGCCAACCTCTGATGGGCTTCACTCCTGGCCCGGTGGCTTGATGACAGTTGGAAGGAGAATATACCGTCAATTCGGCGAGCGAATGGAACAAAGGTGTGCAGAATACTGGTCCTCGAATATATCTGACCACTCATTGACCACATACGGATCAACAAATTGATCATAGAGCGCCCACATGACTTTTCTGACAGCGTTGATTTAGAATTATTTGACTCTTACATTATCCTCAAATTTGAAGCTGAGGCGAGGTTCTAGTCTTACTTTCTACTTTATCTGATGGTTCAACAAGGTATATAGCGTGAGCAAGTTTCAAGGACGAAGTGCCGTGACGACCGACGTCAATAATGCGAAGCAATAAAACTATCTTGATTCCTGAGCACATACTCTGTACAGAAGACAGATTTAGTACTCACCTTGTGCCTACTCCCAGCATTCATGCATTTGTCTGTATGGGAGAAGAGTAAACCTCCGTGAGTACTTGATCCTTACGGGAATTCAAACAGTCTGCCTCGAACACAGAATTTGTCATGCTGTACACCCGCACAGGAACCTGATACATGGGAGAACAAAACTCATGCCACGAGCCTGTGATACGCCAGAGTCGAGTTAAATCCATAAGCGCACAATATATAAATTCTTCAGATTAAATTCCCTCCTGATCGCACAACCTATCAATCATCTCTCTTGCTTGTGGCCCTAATATTGACTGTACTGCATACGCTGCCTCATTGTATATCAACCACTTTTGCGTGGCCCACATTCTTATGTCTTCTGTTACTCTTGATCATACGCTGAAGCTGTGATGCTCAGACGGCGCTGCTCAGACGACGCATATCGATCAGGACATACCCCATTCTCCTTCTCGCCTAGCTGAGGATTTTGCAAATGATGACTGTAATATCACCGCCAGAGAATCTGCAAGCACCCAATTTAATATGACAATAGCAGATTACCAGGATGTGAGTACCAAGTAAGACATTTGCATATCAGATTGGGTGCTTACCGAACATTAGGGTGAATGGCCGAGAAATTCACAGGAACAGGTAGAGCTGAATAACACGCCTATTACTGATCAACTATGGCGGCAAGACTTTGAAGAGATGCTACCGAAGAGCATATTCGAAGTCGAGGATATTGATGACGCCACACCAGTCAGTTGCAGAGACCTTCACGTAAAGCCCATTGACTCACCTCAATGTTCACACAGGGTCGAAGCTGTCACCTAGGGACCATTCTAAACCTGGTGAGGATCAACGAGCCAAAGGTCGGACTTCAAGCGACAGGTTATGCAGAGGCAAATGGCCAACCTTCGCCCATCTTTGGGAGTGGCACGTTGGGGGTGGGAGGACAGCTTCCCCGTCGTATGAAACGCCACGTTTGATAGTGATCACAGCTTGATTCTGCGACTGGCATATATATGGAGGATGATCTCATCGATCATTGAGGAAACAATTATATGGTGACCGAAGCACGCCAAGGTTGAAGTCTGAGTAGGTTGTATTGCTGACAGATCATTACAGCGTTTCAGGAACCGCCTATAGCTAGGATTCTGTTTGTTACGCCATTAGCCAGCACTCTCAAAAAAGCTTGATAGTGGATATGTACCTCGTCCTCATTCAATCTGCCTATACAATACATCTACCATAATTGGTGTCATTACAGCCAGCGGACCACTGGAAATTATGAGTGCACGTCTATGAGTCACATTAGAAGAAGACAGGTGGTAGCGATTCACCACGATGGTATCTCCTCACTTTTCCATGAGGATCTAACTTGTCAAGAGGAGCTAGTCGACAAGTGGCGGCATAGTCTTAGATTAGAGTATTAGCTAGGAGTACAAGCGAAGGAGAGTCCGTACCTGTAATGCCGCAATCCGAATCACCACCATCCTACTTGCAGGCCTGTGCTGCCACTCGATGTTATACCACATTTAGTCGAGATCATCGAGATCATCTGGGTTCTTGGTGGTGCCAAAGAGTATGTTTCGTCGTCTTCATCTCTTCGTGTCGTCTGTGAGTTGAATCGGGAAGGCAAAGTCAAGTTGTATAGCCATTGAACGTTGGACGCTGAGTAGAGAAGAGCGGCAGATGACTAGGAAACTGCTCTAACAGGCAACTCCCGAAGATCGTCATCGGCTGGCTTGCCTTTCTCACGAATCACGGAACCAGTCATTGCATTGTGTCGCGTTTCTCGTCGTGCAATTTTCTACTTATACTTAACGCATTCCAGTCTAAATACTGTATCTCGCACGATATCGCGCAAATCACTATAAAAATCACGCGTCTCGAGTACAATATCGATCATGCTCATCGCCCCAAATCTGTAGCATGCCTGCCACAATATGGGTCCTGCCCTTGCACATTCTCGACATGCCACCCGTCTGATCGGGATTGAACGCGTCTGATATTGTGGGCCAAGAGCATCAAAGACATTTCGCGCATATTTCAGTCCATAAAGGGTCGGCAATACCTGTGCCACCCCAACGCGGTGTGCCGTGAAGCACAATGCCACGCGATCGCCTGCAATGTGGCCATGATCTCAACTATTTGGAACATACCTTGTCCTGGTGCGCACGGATCTCCCCACAGTTGCCATGCAACCTGAAGCTATAGCGCTCTCATGGTTCCCCGATGTCCTGGCGAGAGGGACAATCCAGTGTGATAACTACACGCACGTTAAGTCTGAGCTGCTATGGGCGTATTGAGGGTTTACAAGGCTAAATAAGCATGATATTTACCTTCAGACACATAATCGGAGGTTTGAGACGATGCCATAGTTTGAGGGCTCGCTTAGGTGCTGGCTGGGCCACCGGGCCAAACAAGGAATACGCAGTGTGTATGCGCTGAGTCAAGATGTCGAGCGCACGATGTATTACGCGTTGTACTGAAGGGTGTGAGGTAACCGCCAAACGGCCACACTCATTGACGCTGGTGCATAAATTGCCTCCGAGGCAAGCCACATCCTAAATCATCTTGCATTCTTTCAGTAGCGGACTCTCCTGCGACTCACCCCAGAAGCATAATGGAACGTTGCCCATTTCATCGAGAAGAAGAATTGGTCCTCACTGCCGGTCCCACTTGCCCAATCTGCGGCTTGTCTCAATGCGGAGACACTCTTTCATATGTCGAAAGTCCTCAAGTATCCCAGACACCGGAGCTTGTTCATCCGCGATTCGAAAGGTCCAGGGCAGAGTTTTCTGCAATTCTTGATCGTCAGTGGGATGTGGTTATGGCCGGTAAGAACACAGGAAAGCTCACCATCGTAGAGCAAGCTAAGGTATGTAACGGAATACATCCGGAGGTAGTCGTCGACTAATCGCAACACCGGTATTCGGATATGGGCCCCGTCCCTTGCGTTAGCTTGATCCTCCAGCTTGGACACGATTTCCTGCCAACATGTATCGCTCAGCAAGATTATATCTAGAGCAACAGAGGAACAAACCTGTTGTCAAGAATACCTTTCAAGATTTGTGGGTCAGTGATGAACGTGACGACTTGTCATTGCACTCACCCGATTGTAGGATGCGATTGGAAAATGTTCCTGTGATATATGCAATAATACACAAACAGGCCAGCCCCACGAAGAATGTTGCAATCCTAAGATACCAATTTATATGGAGTTCCCAGATGATATATCCAGGTTTCCTATATCGCACATGCGCACCGGGGGATCGCAGGACATCGTAAGTTCCGTATATTAGGATGCGGAAATCATATGGGACTGATTGATTTTGACGATAATATCGCAGACATCTGAGGTAGAGCCAACAAGCCCAACGTTGTTCTGGCGGCCTACACTTGATTCTGTGGCTGATGCGGCATTTGTGACTGACACGAAGGACCCTATGTCCAACAATGAGAGCAACTATACTTTTCTTGGTAATATGGGATGCACGTACGCTCCTACACCTATGCCTTCCTCAATGGAGGTCAACATGATGGATGAAGGTGTCGGCTACGACGATCGGAATGGTCCTACTTTGCAAAGCGATTCGGATCTTGGATGGGCTCTTACACCTGGCCCGGCTATTGACGACCAAGATAGCATTGGGCCTTTGCTATCCGGACTTAGCTCAGCTGCGCCTTATAACTGGGATTCTGGGTGCGGGATCTACTTCAATCGTGGAAGATCGCCTCCGCGCAGTGAAACTGTAGCATCTGTTTCTATGTTTGACTTGGCCGATGGATGGAATCCGCAAACACCCCTGTGGGAAGAGAGAGATCAATCAACTTCCGGCCTGGACACAGCCCCAGACGTACTAGGGAACTGGCCAACACACGAAGACCAGTCTGCATCGTTCCAGCGATGGTGAGCTGCGCCAATTGTCAAACATACGCCAGCACATACCTACAACAGGAGAAAATATGCGCAGGAAGGTTGTACCTATAACTCATGACCCATGACTATGGTATATAATATATGATACATTCCTTTTGTGACTATCTCGGCACAATGAATATGTATACACTCACTTGCAACGTGCCACTCGTGTTACTTGTTGAGGGGTCATCTATTGTGATGACGGCGGAATGAAATACTTTTTTGTGGAGCCGAGTAAGTGATTAATGGACGTCGTTCAAAATCAAGCGAATGTGAAGTATGAGACGAGGAAGCAACATCAGCAATGTCAGTGAAATGTTGGAATTTGGCAGCAAAACAGGGAAGCTTGCTCGGTACTCTTATGGCTGTTATTTGAGTCTTATGTGGGGATGACATGCGATGTTGGAAGCTGGTAGGAATGAGGAACAATCGATCTTCACTCTAGTGGCGTCATCCAGAGCAATTCAGCATTTGAAGCCGCAAGAATCTTGATGGGTAAAAATATTGATCGTTAGTATCAGAACCCGAAGACAACCTGACTGCGCACCTAGTTACTGAATACAGTTGCAAATTGGAAGCTTTGGGGAATGGATATTGTCTACCGTGGGATCACTGGGGATTACGGCAACCTCTAGTGGGATTGCCGGAGCGAGATAGTAGGTGGTGAGGTCAAGTTCAAATCGAGGTTAGAAGTTCGGTTGAAGTTAGTGTTGGACTGAGACACAACGACAGCTGTACAACAACAACTCTGCCACAAAATCCTAAGCGCTCTTTCATATCCCGCGTTGCCGCTTGCTTCCACACCTTCATGTGGCACGGCACTCGCGATCCTTCAAAAGGCCACAAGGTCACGTCACAGCAAAACAATCCGTGAAGTCGACAGACAAAGCGACCAGGTCTTATCGGCAGCATATAGGCATGGATTCCGCTTGCAACACCATTCCGCCGTGACTTTTTGATTTGAAAGGGAACTAGGGCTGTATGTTGGCGTAGCCTTGCGTTTAGTTTGTCCAAAATTACAGCAATTTTCGGAGTGAAGGAACGGTGGAGACACAATGTTTTGCTGGGGATGAGAAGAGAGGCAGAGGCGGGGATAATGGTGAGAGCGAACTCTTTTACAAGTTCGAATGACTACATGAGTTGACGGTTCCGTTCAGTTTGCGAGTGAGGTCGTGACAGATGGGACAACGTACTAAAACGACTGCAGGAGTCGGCTGCGGGGAGCCCTCATTGAGCCGCAGGGACATAATGTGGCGTATTGGTCTGTGCGCAGACCAAAACACTAGAACGAATAAAACCCCCGCGTCCTGTTCGACCATCACTTCAATCCCTCCTCTAAAACTCACTCTCAGGCTGTCATCGCCGTGTCACTTGCTCATCGGTACCGACCTCTTCTCTAACCATCACCCAGAGACCGCCACTTGGCTCCATCCGCTCGTCCGCCGCCATAACTCCTCTCATTACCGTGTATCTGGAAGAGAGATGTCCTCAAATCCTCGGTATGTACCCACATAATCTGGGCCCACTCGGTCTGACGAGTGTCTCGGTGATAGGTCAGACGGGAGTGATCGTCCCTAAAGCATGACGATAAGTGAGCATTCTCTCATGTTTCACTGCCGCATAGATAATTCAAGATCCAACAATAACACTCACACTATGACACTTGCAATAGACCAACGACCTTAAATATTACTATAGTCCGGCGACGGCTTCTGCAGCATGTGCCATACCCCCCCGTGCACACTGAGCTCACAACAGAAAATGCGATCACAGAAACCCATACAGACGAATAGATGAGGGGATAACGGCGGCGACTACAATAGTAAGCTACCTCCTCTCAAGAGGACCTACGACGTAGCGGCTGTTTGCAGCCGGAATAAATATAGGTGAAAAGCGAGAAAACGACAACGGAGAATATTGTATCAACTGGAACGAACTGTGAAGAGGACGATAACCCACCAAAAAGGCATCAAAGTGACGATGGACAATAGGAAAATCCGCCGACGTCATTGAGGAGACAGCCGCTTAAACAAGAATACAACAGATGATCATAATGGGGTACGTGCCTTGTAAGAGTTGTCGGCATCTTCTCACAGGCGAGGGCGCAATGGCGGTGGCGCTGGGTGCGGGCGTGGGAAAATTAGACCAGACAGGTCGGGAAGAGCGGGAGAATAATAGCTAGTGAAGGATGCTGGTCCCTAGACATATGCAAAAATCATACATAGAGGTGTGATCGAGAGAACGCCAGGGATCAGTGAGTAAGTGTGTTGGAAGCGGATTACCGACGACAACCGACAAGTAGGCACAGATCCTGATGGATACAGTTTTCCTAACTTACAGCCTAATTTCCAAACGAGATCTCTTTGCCGCAGTGAGAACCCTACGAAGATGACTGGCTATCCGCCACCACAGTCCAGTTCATCATCCTCGTTCTAGAAGAGCCGGTTATCCCTTGCCGATAACGCAGGTGGCTGGTCATAAAATTCTCCGGCTTCTCTAGTAATAAACATCCGTCCCACTAGTTTGATCAAGTCTCTCCCGAGTAAATCCCGTAAATAGTCCAGGTCCTGGATGAAATATCCAAGTCAGAGACTGCTGCAACACCAAATCCAATCCATAAGCGCCAAGCTGGCAAATATCGCATGTTGGCCACGACGTACGATAATATGGGAGAAAGACTATCGCGCACAGAACTCACGGAAAACACGCTCCAGAATCCATTAAGCACAGGAAATGGCGCGGACTTTCGATGTTGTTGCCCATGGCCTTCATGAGGCGGCGTCCATTATTCCATATTCTCGATCGCAAAAGTGTCTAGATCGCACAAACGACAAGATAAAAGCGGAGCTTTCGGTAAAAATGTCACAAAGTCTGAGAAAAGCAGAAAACAGAAAGCAGCAGCCCGACGGGTTTACTTCACGAGATGCAGCAGTGGCGACATCAGACAGAAGACATAGCGCGTGTTGGTGAGGCTAACCGCATCGCCCTGGAGTGATACGGTCCTCCTCCGCGTGTTGGTGGAGTTCTAACAGTGCCGGACTGAGAGTAAGGACATACGACGTTGGCCTTCTCGACGGAGGCTTTTGTCGGCTTGCCTTACTGGACACTATTGAAACCCCGCAGATTGCCCGCAGATGAGAAGAATCAAAGAAGAATCACAAGGTGACAAAGGCGCCTGCGGAGGCGCACATAAGAGCGAGGTCGTTTGTCTCTCGTCTGTCTCACTTGTTCCCCCACTTCTATCATCTCCTGACAATCGCCCTCATGTCTCCTCATTTCTACTCAGTCCCTCTCATGGAGGAAAATACCGCCGGCCCGCTGTCGCCCTTAAACCTATACGGACCGGCCACTAATTGCTTGCAATTATCGCTGGAGCCACTAAAGAGTATCGACGATATCCAGTTATGCGCGTCGGCTCGGGACCGCGCCGTATCCTCCCCGTGGCGACCAGGTCTCGTAGCTCATCTCCCGCAGTCGTGCACAATCGCCCATCCAGCTCCTATCCGAACACGCGCTAGTTATAGTCGGATTCTTGACGGTGAACAGGATATTGCACCCAGGAACGCTGCAAGCACACAATACAATATGACAGCAGGGTGTCATGATGCAACAGTGAGTCATAACATTACGCGCATATTATATTGTGTGCTTACCAAGCATAGAAAGAGGATCTTCCAACATCCTCAACAGTGGTGGACTCAGCTCAGGACAAGACGAGCTTGTCCGCGTTGCACAGCCCGTATCACGGAACGGAAGACTGGGTGTTCTCCAAGGGGGACACTCACCATATTCCACTCCCACAAACCCAGACAGAGCAGCTGGCACAAGAGCAACCATCTGGGGTAAACAGCGCCAGTGAAAGCCTGAATGCCGCAATGCTCCAGCTGCTTCAGCTGTGGCATCAGCGATTTTACGCTCTCGACACTGAGTACCGCACCGCCGGACGTATGCAGGGGTCGACAGATGCCCCTGCACATCCCAGGAGGAGCAGAGGTCGTCGTGGTGCTGGGAAGCAGAAAGGAAGGAAGGGGGGTCGAGGAGCCAAGCAGTAGTAGCTTCAAGCTACCCTTTAACGTTATGAATATTGATCTTGATTGTACCGCCCCCAGCGACCAGGGCAGTGAACACGAGGAATATATATATGGTCGAGTTATCGCTGTAAGCACATATCGAGGGTGCTGTGTGAGCGACATCGATGGGCTGCCAGATCACCCAGCGCAATAGAGAGCGAGGATGCGTAGAGACGCTCGCCGTCGTTGGGTATCCGATTCTTGTGAACAAAGGTGAGCCCAAATGGGTGGCAATAATGGACGATCGAACGGATGCACTTCGTGATCAGGGTCGTTTGGGGGCAGCGAAGAAATTTGCAGGATTCTCCGTGCCTGAAATTCTGATCGGCGAAGCGAAGGACCAAGTCGTCCTTGAGTCTGGTATCACACCTCGTACAACGTTTCCACCTGATCCAGTACTGTACGCAACGCCAGTGGGGAAAATCCAGTCAGAAAAAATCTAGGTTTCTAGAAGCCGACTGGATAATTGGCACACTCGTCCGAGGGATGAATGCAGCATCGATTCCAGGGCATTCTGTAACCGGAGACAATTAATTTGACTTGACTCACGTGCTTGCAAGGCTGTACGCACCATGCGGAAGCTGCAGCAATGCACCCTAGAACGGGCACGCACAACGAGGCGCGGCAGCTCGCCGCATCTAGCGCGGCAGGGGTGAAGAGAAATCTATCCGAAACAGGAGGGCGAGATGTGGCGCGCATATATAAGGCCCATCAATTTTTCTGCGCTTCGCCGGCCATTTGGACACTGTACCATACCAAATCCTTGTCAGTAGCTAACCTCTCGACGAGCAAGAACACGCACTTGCCATCGCTACTCAACTTGTACTGTCCACCATTCCATCCAAAAGCGCTTGCTGCTTGTCTAGTCCTCACGCCACTTCCAACCTCGTACGACTTCCAGCCAGATATCAACTACGCAGTTCCTTTTCCAACTGGAACATCGCAGTGGCAGCTTTGCATATTCCATTGACGTCGAATGAGATATCATCGCTAGTAGTTCAATCGCCCATGGCGGTAGATCCGGCCCAAGGTCTAATCCAGTGGATGTAGCGCGAATACTCGCATAAAGAGCTTGCGTTTTGCCCGCCTGCTCTATCTTTGTATCGACTGTACCAAGGAGGGGTACACCAAAATGCATCGAGCTGAAAGCAAGTACTCTGATGAGTGAACAGCCCCACGGCGCATACATACAAATGCCAACACCCACTGTACACGCAAAGCGAAAATCAAGTCTTGTAATGGACACATGCCCTTGCACAATACCACACCGCGTGTGCGACGTGTTCACGCTGTCGATCAAGATAGTACAGGGACGTAGTTCAGCACAATCATTAAATTTCGTGCCAAGTGAGAGGTGATCACAAGGCTCACCAAGGCTACTGTGTATCTAGTGCGAAGGTACGCGGTAATCCAATCTACTGCATCGATTAAACCATCCTTATGCGAAAGCTACCAGAGGCTCATATTCTGAGGCAATAGAATATTTCGATCGTAAGCTATAATGCGATCTAAACCCAAGGCCTTGTACTATACCTTGAAAGTCTTAGCGATCTGATGCAGAGACGATACGGATCGTGAGTCGGGGTGAATAGGATGCGCGTACAACTTACTAGCAACATAATCACGGCGACGCATGCAAGAAGATTGTTCAGGAAGGGGACGAGATGCATATGCGATACGTGTCCCTTCGATACTTGTAAGATGGCAGTCTTTTATAGGCTGCAATCGGATTGCCGCGTGCAAGCGGATGTCCTCATGAAGTGCACGTGTATATTCCTGGATTCGCAAGGACATTGCTGATCTGCTAGAATCACCGTCGAAATCCCGCATGCGAAAGTTTGGGTCGAGGACAATGGCATCGCTGCTGAAGGAGACAAAGGAGGCCTAAACGGGGTGTTAGGCGTCGAGTCAAGTAGAGGAAGGTCGTTCGAGTCGTCTGATCATATTAATGAGAGCGAAGTGAGTTCTAGAGGCATCGACAGGGCTCTTCCACGCATTCTGCGGCGAAGTGGGACCTGCAAAAAAAGAGGGAGCCAAGGAGATGATGACACGATGAAGGCTTGCGATAAGCGCCGCAAGCGACCGGAACACAGTCAAGTCCTAAAAAGGCATTACCGAATCAATACTGTACCCGAATACCGTGAAATCAGGCTCCTAGAACCATCCGCTGGAGGACTACACCTGTTGCGTCGCGTATCGTCATCCATCCAGATTCCTAGTCGTGCGCACGAGTCGTATTCAAGTTATCGCCCTGCGCAACGCACACATACACTTTGAACCCCAGGGAGAGCTTGGTGGGAAGGCAATCTACCTACTATCATATTTCTTAGGGCTGTGAGCACTGAGTTTTACTGCCCCTGCTGATAATCGCGGTACAGCCCGTCATCAGAAAAGTAGAATGACAGCTAGAGTTTATTCATTACAGGCTGATTCGTACCAACATTCAAGAAACAAACGCTACTATTAGTCCATCCCCTCATCCCCTCATCACATCATAATATCAAGTTGAGAATTTAGAAGAAGTTGGATTGTGGTGCTGCGAGAAGAACATTGGTCGGAGCGAGGTTCGGCTGCGGAATGGGTTGTCCACCACTAGAACGCGAAAAGTTTTGCAGCGGTAACACATCCACGGCATCCAGTATGCGCGAAGAGAGCATCCGTATGCCCTGGACCTCTGTGGACACGTTGTATGGCAGTGTCGACTTGCCGTCCAACAAACTGTAGAAGAACTCGCTTTCAGTTCGGTTTGTCAGTGCCTTAGCACTGGACTTGGCAAAGTTCTTGAACGCTACATTGGATATCAGACATGTGAGTGATTTGTGTCTACTAGCCCGAAAAGTCTGATACATACCTCCACCTGCAATGCCTCCACCCGCGCCAGTAAGAGTAGACATGCCCACGCCATCCCAAACATCCTTCTGACCGGTTACTACGTTTGTGAGTACTTGCTGTGTGGCACTTGCGACGGCACCGTTGATACCTGCCACAGCCAACTGTACCGCACCGCGTTTCGCGAGCTGTAGCACTTCCTGGCCTACGAATTTGCCGCCCACGCGTGCACCAAGAAGGTCTGCGGCCTCGATCGCCGCGAAGCCCGCCTTGCTCGCCGCAGTGCTTCCGAGGAACCCCGTCACGCTCGACACTGCACCTACACCAAGTGCGACACCCCATGCAGCGTCGTTGAGCTCCTGCTTGCCATTCACGGCTGCATTCCAGAGCGCTTCGCCATCGTACATGAATCCGCTGAGTGCGGCACCGAAGGCCATCTCGGCAAGGATTGGTACTTCAGGCAAGAAGACGGTTGCCAACACTCCTGCGGCCAATAAAGCTACATCAACGGCCCTGGATGGGTTTGATGTGGGTCAGACGAATTTGACTCATTGGAGAAGAGAATACTCACAGATGCCACACAAGATGCCACCAGAAAGACAAGTTGCCGTTGATGTCGATGAAGTTGACAGGATTATTCTGGGAGAACGTGTACTGGTTGAACTTCGACGCGGTGATGTCCAATAGCGAAATCGTGATGTTGTCTAGCGTTACAAAGCGACCAGTCTGAGAGTGCGCAGCATCAGTATCATCCAAAGAGATTCTGGATGATGAATGTCGTACCGCAGGGTCATAGAATCGAGCACCAAAGTAATACAAACCGTCGAAGATCTCTTTCCCGCTATATTTGTATCTGGAGATGTCCGGTCCGGTGACGGTAACCTGGCCGAAAGCATCGTACTTGTACGTCGTCACAACATCCCCGTCCTCGTCCGACACTGCGACGATGTTCCCCAGATGATCGCCATGGTAGTAATTCACCGTAGGTGTACCTGTCGGCTTGCCATCTTGCACAGTCGTGCTGATACTCGCGCGACGATGCTGGAAGAGGAGGTACGATGTCTGCGTGGTTACACCATCACTGACATTGACTTCATAGCTTTCACTCGGATAGTACGTAATCGACCCGTCAGCGCGCATCGCTTTGAGCATACGGCCGTTGAAATTATACACGAACTTGGTCCCATTCAAATCGAGCATTTTCCCTTCAGTGTCGTAGGCCATGGAGCGGACAGCCTTGCCATCGGCATCCTTTTCGGAAGTCAAGTTTCCATCGGGAGAATATTCATATGTACGATAGATGCTGTTCGTCACCGAGTCGAGAATCGATGTAAGCTGCCAACCCGCGTTGACATGTTGTTTCTCGTCTTTTGCGGCGATGTTTCCACTAGTGTCGTATGAGAAGACAGCAGGCTGAGCGCCTCCGCTCGCTTGAGCTTGTACAAGTTGACCTAAGAGCGAGACCTGAGGAATATTTCTGTGCACGAGAGCGATGGCTTACCTGCAAGGTCGTAGCTATATGCCCGGATATCAGTACCTGTGAAGTCATCGTCATACTCCTGGACTCGGCCGCGACCGTTCAACTTCCAAGACTGTTGGTAGGAAGGCGTGGTAGAATTGCCTTTGGAGAGAGTTGCTTTGAGAGGAGCACCGTTATCGGCGAGCGTGACTCGGGACTTCAAACCGTTGCCGATATCACAGACGAGAGGAGAGAAGAAGGGATCATCGAACTCGCTGAATACCACGGACGCGGATTTGCTAGAAGTGCCGTCCGTAAGCGTGACCTTGTTCACCGTCTCGCTGTTCGCGAACAGCGTCTTGGAAACTTCAGATCCGTCAGGATTGATCGTTCGGCTCAGCTGCCGGGTGGGAGTATACTCGTAAGATGTTGCGAAGGATTGGCCGTCAATGTTCAAAGCAGAAGTAGCCAGGCAGCCTCTAGCATCATATGTATAATATTCTTCCGTACCTTTCGAGGAGGTAACTGCGGCAAGGCGGCCGAGTGCGTTAGCTGACGCAGTATCATAGACGAAAGCGAGGACCTCGTCGGGAGCAGTCTTCTTCGTCGGTCGGTTCATGAAGTCCTTCTCTACGACAACTGATGTCTGCAGGAGCTCGTTCCGGACGGTGGTGGTATTGGTAGCGTCGTCATACTGTACCGAGAACTGACTGATCACGTCAGGAGATATGCCTTTTGGATTTGTTATCCGCCGACCTAGCTGTCTTGACAAAGCATCCCATTGCTGTATCACTTGTACGCCACTAGGGTCTGTCACAGCGACCACACGATGCATGGGGTCATACGATGTTTGTATCTGCCTATCAAGCTCATCGATGGAGCTCACAGCGAGCGGTTTGACAAACTCCTTCGCGGAAGAATCGGGGTTTGGGAAATACTCAACAGCATTCAGCACAGTCGTACTGCCCTCTCCGCCTCCAGATCTCGTCTCCGCGCTGATAATTTGGCCATTGACGTAGCTGTACTGATATGTGGACGTCACCGAGTCAGCACCTCCAATAGCCGCAGGCGAGACAACTTTGATCTTCCGAGACATGCTGTCGAAGGTGGTTTCAGTGTACTCGGGATTCGTGTTGTCGCTCCTATAGCTCCTGTATTGCCTTGTCTTTCTACCGGCACCATCGTATCGAATCTCGTTACAGATCGTGATTGATGGGTCAGATGGGCTCGGCACGGCGGTCTTCCACTGTCTCTGAAGTCCGTCCAAATACGCTGTCTCCTTGGTCCAAGAGTCGGAAGAGAAATCGCATAGTGTTTGTCTGATACAAACAGGCTGACTGTCAAGGGTAGTATACTGCCGCTTTTCGATGACGACCAAGCTCGATGACGCGTTTCCTTCGGAAAACTCGACAGGTCGACCGAGCACGTCGTACTTCTGGGCTTTTATGAATCCGCTGCTATCGATGACAGACGCGACTTGTCCAGTACTGAGATCGTAGGTCGCTTTTGTAGTAAGAGACCTCTGGCTGTCGACGGCAGATGTTACTGTTGTAGGGAAGGAGTACGTATCATCGTAGCTGAGAGTCTTGTATGCTGGTCCGGGACCTTTCATTGTCGTCACATTGCCCACGGCGTCCAAAGAGAGATCTTGGGATGACCATTGCGTTCCCGCTACCCATTGGTCGACATGATTGATGGTCTGCGTCCCCGCAAGGTAGGCGAACTTGGACTGCTTCACGGTGATACCGTCAGAAGTAACCAATTCCGAGAGCTTGGTCCCAATGAGCCACTGCGATTCATCGTTGGAGTAGGTCTGAGTCAGTGTCAATGCTGGCTTCCCTGTAACTGCGATCACGGTCTTGACGATGTTCGCGTAGGAATCGTAGTCGTGGGTGACGTCAACCATGAACGCCTGAGAGCCACCCTCATAGAACGTTTGATGAGCGACGGGCATCGTGGTATAGCAATTAGCGCCGCCGTTTGCGGGGAAAGACTTCAAATCATACGTCAAGTCCTTCAACGTTCGACTGGGATCTGAGGCATCGCGTATCGTCGTCCGGGACATCTGACCAATAAAAGGGAACTCCTGAAGGTAGATATTCGTGGTCTCTGCACCAAGTGGCTCCACCGTCTGTCTGATCGTCTCGAAGCCCAACCAACCCCTTCCGTCAAACGACATTCGCCCATTAGTATAGAAAAAGGTCGATTGAGAGTATCCGTCAGGTTGGGTCGAAGGAGCCGCCCAATTCCTCATCTCCTTGACGACATATTTCGGGAAGTGTACCAGTTGCGAACGGCCCTTGCCCATGATGGGCAGAGTAGACGCACTCGACGGCGTCACGAAAGCGGTCGATGTCCATATGCGAGCCAGAGCATTGACGTACGGAGCGGCAGACCCCCTGGTTGTTGGAGGCGCATCGTAGACGGAGGTGTCTGTCAAGGGGGCGTATGTGACTGAGAACTGCGCACCGAGACCTCCCTTGTAACCAGTAATGAAATCCGCGGGCGCAGAGACAGTCCCGGCGCAGGGAAGAGTGTACAACGACAGTTCACTTTTCGAGTCGTCGTAGAGTGTGAACAAGCAGTCAGCTCTGCCTATTCCTCGTGTGTCCGCAAAGTTGACGTCGTAACCCTGGAGAGTGGTCCCAGGCGGCTGCTTCACCCCGCGTATGTCGATGAATGAGCCGTTGTAGAAGTGAAGAACCGAGACTTCGGTTCCGTCAATGGCCTCAAAAACGTTCACGATATCGAGCGAATTGGTGGACGTGCTTCGGCCAAGCGTGATCTTTCCGTCGTATAGCACATTCGTCGTGACCTGATCTGAGACAGCAAGCGTCTTTCCAGTGCTCCGAAGTGTCTGGTATTGAAGGTAGCCGTTGCCACTCTGAGATAGCACGAGCAACCCCGTCTTTCCGTCTTGTTCTGGGAGGGCCAGGAACGACGTCGTCTCGGTCCACGAGATGCTTTCGCCAATCTTTGCGAATGGATTGTCATCGCGATACTTGAGCCTGCCATTCTGAGACTGGAAGAAGGATATCTCGCAGACGATATTTCCACCACTGTAGAGCGACGAGATGAGGAATACATCATCCGAGCTGTGATTATATCTGTTGAGACGAGCACTGATTGTATAAATTCGGTGAGCTCACCCATCACCATTGAAATCGGCGACGACCACTTGCACTCCCTCGACGGTGATGTCTTTCGGCCCCACTACGGGTGGTTGGTCGTGGAAAGAAGTGCCATCGCAGGTGAACTGTACAATGGAAAAAGCCTGCGATCCGCCTGTATACTCATTGTAGAGATATATTACTCCGACGTTCCCATTTCCCTAGTGAGTAAGGAACATTGCGCAGGCGCTCAGATTAGATGTACTTCCACAAGCTGTGTGATCTTACCTCAAAATCTCCAGAAAAGTATTGCCCGTCCGGAACATCGGGGACAAAGGTTGTTTCTTGTTGTGCCACATAACCATTCTCCGTCGAAAGAAGCACAGTGAGAACGTGCTCAGTATCGCCAGACGATGAGTCGTTCATAATATGAAGCTACATGCGTGGCGGGTGAGTGCATTACCTCGAGAAGTTTCGGAATTTGGCGCACCAGATCTGTCTTACCGTCGCCATTTGCATCGACAGCCAGCATATGTGTCGGATATAAAAGATTGGTTGAACCTGATCCATTCTCCGCCGCATGATTGAAGCCTCCTAATCCATCCGCGAGGTGAACATCAAGACAGAGCATGTTAGAACCGGCCCCAAAATCGTATTGACTTGACGCAAGAATGAGGTCAGTTCTGCCGCGACCGGCAACATCGACAGGGAATACTTGTGAGGTCGAGACATCGGGTGTGAGTGGTGTGAGTGCCGTCAAATCATCGAATACTGTAGGTGCAGAATCGCACCAATCAAAAGCAAGAGGGGTGACAAATGTTCCCGAGTCGTCGGACAGAGCGACACTCTGGAGCCGACTCCATCCCGTTACGGGAGCGGTATCATAGACAAAAGAGTGCTTGTAGACAAGAGAATCGTTGATAGAAGCGGAGACAGATGAGAGACGTTTCGTCAGTGTCACCGGGTACCCTCCCGTATATTCTGTCTCAATATCAGGACGGTCCTCGTAATCGAAGCTGAGGGTGCGCTGATGTGGCATTTGTAAGTTTTTGTTCCCGCCAAAGTTGATGCTCGACAGGTAGAAGGATCCGGTTGATGTATCGTTGGCATAGGTAAAAGAAGAAAAGTTGGAAAAAGAATCATAGGTTTCCGAAATCGCCCAGACTCGAGTTACACTCTGGCCTTGAGCCTTGACATTGGAGTCCTGGAACAAGTATAAATGAGTTCACGCTGATGTAGTTCTTCGTCGAGCGCTCACGTTGGTTGAACCATAGACACGAACGGTTCCGTCGGGAAGATATTCAATCCAGCTATCGGGATTCGCAGAGTCAGAGCCTACAGCGATGACTTTCGTCCACTGTTCGACTTCGTAGCGATACTCGTTGCTTGAGATCTTCATCAATCGCTGACCATTGAGGGTGAAACGATCATTTGAATCATAGTTGACGAATCCTACAAAGCTATGAGAAATTATGTTGCACCAATGATAGTTAAATTACCGGCAAATCCGTCCTGTGCGATAGTCGCTGCAGTACGCTGGACGAGCCCAAATGCGTCCAAGGTCCAACCGTGGCCGACAACGCTCTGCTGATGCACAGCAGAATGATAGGAAATCTCTACGGTGGGAGAAAGCTTAGCAGGCGGAACACGAATAGGCACTTTTAAGACAAGAGATCCATTCGGATCGACGCATTGGTCAATTGACAGAGAGCCGACAATAGTATTGGACATAGCAGTAAAATGAGCAGATGTGATTTACACCGAGAGCAGGATGTTGGAGTTGCTGGGGGGTTGAAGAGACGTTTCCTGTACATCGTTTTATATAAAATGTCTGTGAGTACGGCCATACCCCGAACGACCAGCGTTTGCCTACCGCCCTCGAGGCCAGATTTGACACCGACGTGTATGTCAGCGGTGGAACACGCACACAATTTCGGTATAGAACACCTGGTCAGAAGATGTCTCGATTGGCTCTTCCTCGTACTTCATATCCCTCGATGTTTCGCCTTTTGTGAAATAAGTGTGCTGCCATTGGCAGCTGGGAAATTCTGAGAGGCTATGACGCATATGCTAACGATGCTAAGGCCGGAAGGACTACGATATAATTACATATCGCAGGGCTCCAAACATTTTGTGCGGAGTCTTGCAGAGGTTCGAATCAGAGACGTCATCCACACGTCCCTTCCCCACCTTGGACATGGGACAAATGCGGCATTCCAGGCCGGTGTGTTCAGTGTCCAGGACCAAGAGGAGATAATCAGGTTTAAACGATCTAGTCAAGAAGGGCCTGAGCTGAGACACCATTCCCACCCAAGTCATTGAAGCAGCTCGGCGTGTGTAACTACTAGACCTGATAGAACGCAGACTCGGGAAATGCAGGCTTCGAAGCATCGTTCAGGGACTGAATTGAGCGTGTGATACAGAACGAGGCTAATTCCACTCAACTGTAGTTTATTTCACATTTAACAGAGGCTTGATGGTCAGGTTGAGATTCGTGACCCGCAGGATGAGGTGAGTCTGCAAAGGGAGAAGCTGAAGTTGAGGTTGAATTTGACGTGCACTTGGGTGGTGGCCGCAGTCGGGCGCTAGTCAAAGGTCAATCAGCAGAACGCGATCGGCGCATCGCCGCCTCGTGTGAGGATCACACAGACGGCGCGCTGCGCACAGGCGCTGACGAGCTTCTTGGACACCAACACCCCCGAGCCCCAATGTGTCCAGGATACAAGAAGTTCCATATACACCGAGATTATGGCAGCTCCATCTCATGAATAATTCGCTCGATACGCACCGCGAAAGGCTTACTGGCTCGGAGTCGCCGTGATGATAAATGGGTGTCCAAGAAGACTTGCCCAAGTAGTACATCTCAGCGGACACTCTCCAGTGGCGCCTGCGGACAGAGTTCGTTCCAGGAACTCACGCTAAACTTTCAATTGGTGTTCAGAATCATGGTGTCTTCTTGGACACTCGGTAGGTACAACGATGCTTGGAGAAGGCAGGCAGCTCGCATCGCGGTAAAACATAGGTCAATTACCAATCGATGGCGACATGGACATTGGCGGTGAACACTCTGCTGTCCCGTCTTGGCGTAAGTCACTTGCTACATCACTTGCTCCTTCGAAAATGATAAGTTCAATGGACACAATTTTATTAGATAATTACGGAGAAAGTCCACCTGTATAAAAGCCTGCGCTTTCTGTCTGAGGGCCCCATTGTCTTCCTCTCAACAACTTCTCAACAAGTAACATCTCGACACCTACTTATGTCTTCTGGCTCTGTTGTCGGTGTGGGGTCCACCCCATCTATATTCCGCGGTCTTCTTCAAGACGCTGGCTACACGTATGCTAATTATGAGCAATATTCCAAAGTCAGTAGTTTTTTGCGAACATTCGCGACTTGAGCTTACAACCATCCCTTGTCCAGTACAAGTCTTTGCCGAATGCGCCGAATGCTACTGCTCTCGCTCTATTCGGACACGACGACGGCCTAGCGAGTGCAGAGGCTATAAACAAGCTCCTCGATGACAAAGTTATTCTTCTCCTCTTCGCTCCCAGCACCGAGGTTGCACAGGCACTCAAGGACGCTGCCAAGACGGTACTTGACATCCCTAAGATTAAGCTGGATGAAGGTGTAGCTATCGTTGCATACAAGTGTGTATCAAAGACTCTTCACTGTAGCACCTACTGATAGATGATTGACGATTCACAGGATGGTGGGGCTTGACCTTATCCACCTCATCCCCGGCTTTTCCATTACACGTCTTACCCAGAAGGACGTTCGATCCCCGGAAGCTATAGCTACAAGGGATAAGCGAATCACCATCCGCGACGTAAAGGATCCTTCCATGACTTTTGAGCGGAAGCTCAAATATGCTATCGGTCTCATTGCCAAATCGGTAGCACACGCCTCTGATGAAGCTTCCCTTGCGTCTATTCGCGCTACTTCGGTCAATCTGACTCCCCCGTCGGATACGTCATTTGTCAGCAAGTAAGTCAAGTCTCGCTTTCTATGAACCTTGACCCTCTCACAACGACGACAGCACTTCTTTCAGTATCCAACTCTCGTGGTACAGCGAAGAATCCCCGTGGAGCGACGAATCCAGCGGTTGGAGCGTGCTGCCGGAATCTAAGTGGCAATGGTGGGATTTGAGCTGGACGGTATACCTCTACACCTACGCAACGAACAACACTCCTAATCCGAACAGCGGCTTTGCATCTGGTGGCGGGGTGGTCTACACCATCGCTACATACGGCGGGTCTTGCGTGCGCTGGTCAGGTGGCTCTCCTAGGTGGTTCGGTCCGTGGGGAGGCAACGGTACATCCGAGACCGAATACTGGTTCCTAGATGAATTTGCCATACAGGCCGAAGACACAACTGGCCTCATGACGTGTTACAGGCAGCAACCTTCTGGCGGGAGCCACTCTGGGACGACGTTCACTTGTTCGTAGCTTTCATCCGAACTGATTGCGGGCGATTGACATTGATACTCTGGTGTTAAGATAATATTGATTTCAGCCAGACACTCAACCTCTTCAAGAATAGCGGCAAAACCCCCTTCCAGTGGCAGGCTTCGTACGGGGATAGTTACACTCGCGACCGGTTCATGGAGACCCCCGTTCAGTCCGATCTCTATACATTTACGAGCTGGATTGACTACAATGATTATTATGTGAGTGCTTACTTTCCTTAATTCTACCAAGTTCTAATCTTGTGGTCAATAGGATCGGTACAACGGGGGTTTGAGCAGCGACCAGTGGTGGAACCATGGAGTCTTCGACTGGTCGGATGGAGATTACAAGACCGTCAAGGTACGTCTAATGCATCATACATAGGATTCCCTCTGACGCGAAAGCAGGTCTTACCGAACGACAACTTCCCCATCCACGGGCTCAACATGTGGACCTCCAATGTGGGAAGAACCAACATCAGTACGCTCGTTTGGTGATGGATTGGTGCATTGAATGTATGCCGACTTATGATTCTGTAGGGTTCGCCAGCGGCATCGAGCCTCTTGGGTTCAAGTCCAACACCGCTTGGGGACAAGTGAGTCCATTGGTTTGCATTCCCTTACAAACGTAACATTTTTCGTCACAGGGTCACTTTGTCTATGCTCCGCTTTGGGGCGATGATTATCTCGACGTGCCCCTCGATCTCACTTTCGGCGGTTGAGCTTGACCTTGAAATCGCAGGCCAAACTGGAAGGACAGCCCGTCACAAATTGCTTTGATATCTTGTGTTCTTGCCGTTGCTTGTAATGCTGTATCACCTTACCCTTATGCCAATACTATGATGAATGTTTCTACGTACTTGCGCGATGGAATTTCTGGAATGATGTTCCATACAATTCGAATTGAACACTCTTCATTCACTTCACGCATATGTAAGTTGTGAAGGCGATTAATGATAACAAACAAGACATATTCACGAGTCGTTTTTGGAGAGCAAGTCATCAAAAAAGCTTAACGTAAATCTTTGAAATTTGGGATTTACTCAGTTCGCTATGAGTGCTGTGAAGGAAAATGGAAAATTGATGGTATGATGGTTGCAATTCTGGCGCGTTGACTACCTCCATCGTACTCAACTGTTCTCACAAGGGCGCCGTTGGCCTGGTAGCAAAGTCTATAACACACAATCTATCGGGCTAGCAACCTTCGCAATGTCGTTCACGCTGTCACTCGCTTCCTGCCTTCCTGCTGAACTACTCTCAATATCCTCAGTTATCATATAGCATCCTTTGGTTGAGACACCGAAGGCACATAAGACCTCGTCAGTGCAACAGAAAAAATCGCGTACACTCAGGCTGCTGGTAAAGACGAAGTTTGAACCCCACTCTCCGGGCAGACTAAGCTTACAAGATAGCCACGTCTACCGTAGCGTCCATTCCGATCACAAATACACCTCGATTTGGTACATAGAACGACAGCAGATTCGGAGTCTCGAGTTGTGAATTTGTCAGCAGGACCACGTGGTATAGCGAGCGGGCAACTCTCATCCTCGGCGTCAACTGTGAAGGAAAAATGGCGTCGACGTCCTACGCTCGCCCAAGCTCGTCCCAGCTGCCCCCGTCGGTCTTTAATCCTCGTCGCCATGTCAATGTTCACGCAGAACGCGTCTCGGACGTCTCAAATACCGAGTATCCCGGTCATTACCCGGGCGAGGACCACAGCTGGAACCTCGCTCACTTCAAACAGGTGCGTTCGCCGTCCTATAGCCACTTCCGCTTGCCCATAGCTCGCGCGGCCGAGGACAGAACCTCAAGGTGAGCGTAAAGCGGCTGTCGCAGCGCTCAGTCGAATTCGACCTCATCGGCGTAGACGCGTCTATCGCCAACGCCTTTCGTCGAATCATGATCGCAGAGGTACGGGCACGGCATGATTCGGGAGCAAGACACTGACTCCCTTCCAGGTTCCGTCGCTGGCCATCGAAAACGTATATGTGTGGAACAACACATCTGTCATCCACGACGAGGTCTTGGCCCACCGACTAGGCCTCGTCCCACTCAATGTCGATCCGTCGCTCTTTGACTACCGTGAAGACGTCCCAACGGACCGGAATACACTAGTATTCAGGTGTGTTCCTTACATCCGTCTTGCGCATACTCTAATGTGCGCAGGTTGAATGTCGCATGCGAGGTCGACAAGAGTGCATCGAAAGAAAAGGGGGCATCTAGGAAATTCCTGCATGAGCTCGTCAAAAGCGGAGATTTGGAATGGATCCCTCAAGGCGAACAAGCAGCTGTCTTTGCTGGTTGTACACCGGCACCAACGAACAAGGTTGGCAGATCACTGTCTTCTACTGCCTCCCATCTTGCTCACAGTTTGACGATTGTTCGTTGCCCACTTATTCAGGAAATCGTTTTAGCAAAACTCAGGCCAGGTCAGGAAATCGAGATGGAGCTGCATGCCATTAAAAATGTTGGTAAGGTGCATGCGAAATGGAGCCCTGTAGGTAAGTCGCGCAAGCTCTGGGTCTGAAGACTGATTCCGCCGAGTCACTTTCACGCCTCTTGCTGACATCAACTTAATCAACCAGCTACCGCCTCATATCGTCTGCATCCACTCATCGTCCTGAACCCATCGAAACCCGTTCCCCCGCATCTTGGGGAAAAATTCGCAGCATGCTTCAGTCCAGGTGTCGTACAGATAGACCGAGACGGCCAGGTGAGCTGCAGCCGCGCGTCAGGGTTGACACCATGCCCTGATCGTCCGACAGATATCGATACATGAACACAATATGCGTAAGGAGAGTATGTCGCGTGAGGTGCTCCGGCACAAGGAGTTTGAGGGCTGTGTGGAGCTTAAGCGGATCAGAGACTGGTTCATTTGTACGTGGTGCTCATTATTTGCAGACTGCTGTAACAGATCGAGAGCCCGTGACTGACGCATTCCGTCTGCAGACACTATTGAGTCCGAGGGGCCGTACGCGCCTGAGGACCTCTTCCCGGAGGCCATTAAGGTTATGCGTAGCAAGATCGCGAACATTCGCCAGGCTGCGGAGGGTTTACTTGCCGATGCCGATGGTGTGGACTTACCCAGGGCATCGACGATCGGCGCAGATGTTGACGTCGTCATGGAGGACGCTTAGGAAGTGCAGTGCTAAAATCAAGGTCACTGTATTTTTAATTATGCTGCACCTCTTTGACGTGAGAGCCAGCTCCGTGTATTGAAAGCGTAAGTTGCATGAGCAATACGAATCTCTAGCAATTTGTAGCCATGATTTATTCCTTGCGCAGCTATATGCACGACATATATGTGTTATGTGTCGTGATTAAAAATGTGTCGGGCAAGGTTAGTCATTCTGGATTACGCCACGTTCTTTTGCTCTGTTGTATCACATGTACGCTTTTCCTCTTCTCAATGGTCAACAGCTAAACAAGATCGGACTGCCAAGCCTCGAGCATTCTACGCAGGAACCTCTAGGAATGTGGACATTGTCTGAGCTCTCGGGACGAGTCGAGATTTCGTATTTCACGCACGTCGGGGCAGATTCGCTAGTGGAAGATAAAAGCATGATGGACATATCCGAGATCAAAGTTCGTTCCTGACATTTTCCTGCTGAGAAATGCAAACAAGATTCCAGATACGCTATGCCGCGTACGGACTCGTCTGTGAATCGAGGGGTCGTTCATTCTAAACAGGGGCCTGATATGCGCCACTCGTACCACCTTAGCCAAATCGGGCAAAGCAACTCTGGACTTGACGTCGCAAGTGAGTAGAAAGGAATCTGGTTCGATTCCAGATTCCGAAGGGACGTAGAGCAGATAGTTTGGTGCTCGCGACAAGACTCCATACGATCGCTTTCCAATGTAGGAAATTATAAATTGCCTTCACAAGTCTATAGTGCTGACTTGGCTTCCATTCAAAAACTTTAAGTAGATATCAATTAGTGTCGGGCGGCAGAAAGACCTCGCTGGTATTCGCACCCAGTCTCGTCTCATTCGTCTTGTTTCAATCTATTTCCCCGCCATGTCTTACAAACACAGTGTATTATTTGTACGTGTTGATACGGAGACATGTGTGAAACTCCCAAGGGGGCTATTGAGAAAGAGGCCGATGTGGATGGCCTCAGCAAAGTCATCGTTGCAGAAATAGCACTTCAAGTATATCTGTCTTCGGAAGGTATGTAGTATCAACTCCTGCTTTGACTTGATGTTGATGTTTTCTCGTGAACTACAGCTGAAGAGAAGTTTTCCGCTTGCAGGCTTGGGAGAGGCTCTTTCGGAAAAGTCAGAAGCAAAGAATAAGATTTTAGGAGCATGGCCGCCAAGTTGAGTTCTCCTGTAGAAGAGATATGGAATCATCTTCTAAGAATGGAGGATCGTCCTGATGCCTCTGGGTGTGCTTTCATCTACTTTCTCGTTCCTCGGGGACAACCTACTGGAGATATGCTGTCATATCAAGTATTTTGTGACAATGCCGCATTCTCACTCCCCCCTTTGTTCTTGCCCCGCCTTGCAGTCGAAATCATGGTGGGTGGGTGACAAACGAATATGTGAAGACGGAGACGAAAAAGTGTGTATGTCGAACATAATGCGCTTCTTTGTTTCATTGATTTTGCTATTTGGTTCAGCGAAATTCCTTAAATTTCACGACAGCACTCCCCAGCATTATATTGTGTTTAAGCTTTATAGAACATAGTGGAACCGGAGAGAAGCGAAGGAGGATGGCGAAAGTAGTCGACGATTCTAATCTCAACGATGACCATGATAAAGATGTATACTATCGCTCATAAGATCAATCAGCAATCCTGACATGTCGTTCTGTAGGAACTTGACCCGAAGGCCCGCTTTGTGGATGTCAGAGAGATGATCGACTGGACCAACGGCGATGGATCCCGCTTCAACTTGTCCCCGTATTTCCTGATTCGAGATGAGTACATCGGACTCATAAATCACCTGAAGTGGAAGAGAAGCATATTCTCCTATGGGGCAGCCGGGAATTGGTAGTTCTGTCAATTATGATTTGCAATCGATGGATAACCAGTCAGATCTTAATCATAGGAAAAGCCATCTACTTGTCTTGTGTGGCAACTTGTTGCCGGGAAACAACCATACATATTTGCAATATCATTCGGCCAACGTTACATGTTCCATGATTCTGGGGTTCACTGGATTCCAAATGATTACTTCGAATAAAGAAAGTTCCGACTTTGAAGAATGACGTCGGTAGCCTAAAGTCCCTTGCTTTATTTGATTTGAACGCTGCTCAACACCGCCGCTCAACAATTTGATGGCTTCAGGATGCTAGCAGTGTCATAGCCGAAGCAGGGGCGATACCACAAGTGGATCGAGCGAGGAACAGTGGAGACTCATATCATGAAGGCATGGTCGTGGCCTCAAACGTTTTACGCTCAGTAAGTAAACGCAGGGAACGGTTTGGAGGCTACCAACGGTTTTGCCAGTCGCTTTATGGTTGTTGAGTTTGGTTGGAAGACCCTATGTATCGATTTGGTAAAATTTGAAGAATGCGCAAGGACTCAATCTGTTCAAATTGACGCATCAAAGATTGAAACCTTGCTCAACGCGAAGATCAATAACTGCAGGGATAATTGGCCAGCTCTTCCCAACCTCTGATTGCCAGTGCATGACGGATGAATCGAATCATGCTCTGATGAATGTAGGTCCGATGATCGTGAAGGGTTATCTGGATCGCAACACTCTCTGTGGTTTACTGCTACTAAACATGATTGAAGCAGACTATTAGAGGAAGAAGAGCGTATGTTGGCTGGTAGCGTGAAAAAAGCATTGAATTATTTCCATTCAGGGAAAATGTAACCAGGTTGGTATCAGGGGGGAAAAAGCGGACCGGCACTGATACATCGTCCGCTCTCAAATGCTTGGCGAGTAACTTCTGCGAATCTTACACGTCTCGGCTTGAAACGATTTTTATTTCGGTGATGCTCACAATACATAGGCCGCGTTGGCACGTCTAGCCCTGTTCGCTACTGCCGAGCGCTTTAATCTCAGCCCAACGCTCGTTGGAATTGACTCGTTTGTTCTGGAAGTTCATGTCCATGCGAAATGCACGAGTGGCATCAAACTACGCATCTCGAACAATGTTTGTCTTTAAAGGTCATGAGTGACTCAAATATTTCTTGATCTCTCCCTGAACCGCATTATGAAGGCTGTCTTGTTTGTATGTAGGTCGATACCGGTTATACAGCCATGACAACACATCACAGTCATGCCTGATATATCTGAAGAGGGGGGATTGGTTATTCCATGCATTAACAGAGCCTATAGATATACCATAGATACGACGTGCAAGCGGGAGGGGGATGAGTGATGCGATGTGAGATGAGTGCAGGAAGAGAGCATTAAGTTCAGCATGATACTTTTGAGCAGACAGACTAGAAACCTCATGCCTCCACAACTGTGAAGGCTCACTTCTCTTCGTCTAGAAGCCCATGCCCCCCATGCCCCCCATTCCACCCATACCGCCCATGCCCGCACCGGCACCTGGCTTCTCCTTCTCCTCCGCTTCAACTACACAAGCCTCGCTTGTCGTGAGCAAACTCGCAACACCGGCCGCGTCGACAAGGGCAGTGCGCACGACTTTAAGCGGGTCGACGATACCAGCCTTGATCATGTCAACATACTCGCCCTTGCTTGCGTCGTATCCCCACGCGAACTTGTCCGGTGCGCCATAGTTAGCGACGAGCGTACCAACGATCACCGACGACTCCTCGCCAGCGTTCTTAAGGATCGTCCGCGCGGGGTACGTCAGCGCGCGCTTGATGATCGATACACCGAGGTCCTGGTCGAAGTTCGCAGTGGTGATCGGCTTCGCGTCCGGAGATGTCGACGACGACGCGGAGCTCGACGTGCCCGGCGCATTCGACGCGAGCGCAAGTGACGCCTTCAGCAGAGCAACACCACCTCCGGGCAAGATACCCTCTTCGACAGCAGCACGGGTCGCATTGAGAGCATCGTCGTAACGGTCCTTCTTCTCTCCGACCTCAACCTCACTGCTGCCACCGACCTTAATAACTGCAACACCACCGCTGAGCTTGGCAAGACGCTCCTGCAACTTCGTACGGTCGTACTCGCTCGTAGTCTTGTCAGCAACAAGACTTCTGATCTGCTCGCATCGCTGCTGGATGGCGTCCTTGGAACCCTCGCCATTCAGGAGGATGGTGTCCTCCTTGGTAATAGTAATAGAACCGGAGGAGCCAAGCATGTCGGCAGTCAAGTTCGCAAGCTTGATGTCGAGTTCGTCGGTGATAACGGTACCACCAGTGAGGATCGCAAGATCACCGAGGATAGACTTGCGGTTGTCACCAAACCCGGGCGCCTTGACAGCGCATACCTGGAGTTGTCCTCGGAGCTTGTTAAGAATGCAGGCAGCGAGGGCTTCCCCATCTACATCCTCCGCGATAATGACGAGAGGACGCCTTGCCTGAGCGGATGCTTCAAGCGCAGGAAGAATGTCTTGAATGGCACTGATCTTCTTCTCGGAAAGAAGGACCAAAGGCTTTTCAAACTCAACCTTCTGCGACTTGACGTCGGTGACGAAGTAGGGACTGATGAAACCACGGTCGAAGCGCATGCCCTCCGTGATCTCAATCTCGTCCTCAATCGTGCGACCCTCTTTCACGGTGATAACACCCTCCTTGCCGACTTTCTCCATAGCCTGGGCAATAAGGTTGCCGACGTGGACATCACCATTTGCAGAGATCGTAGCGACCTGAGCAATCTCAGCGGTAGTCGTGATGGTCTTCGTATGCGAGGCAAGGAACTCGACTACGCGGTCAACCGCAGCCTGAGAACCGCGGCGAAGATCCATGGGATTACAACCAGCTGCGACGTTCTTGACACCCTCAGAGTAGATGGCCCGCGCAAGAACGGTAGCGGTGGTAGTACCATCACCAGCAATCTCATTAGTCTTCTGAGCAACATCCTGGACCAATCTGAACGAATGGTCAGTCATGACCAAATGAAATACTGTCAACGTATCACTGACCGAGCACCAAGGTTTTCAAACTTGTCCTGTAGGGATATTGACTTTGCGACAGTGACCCCGTCTGAAAAAAATCTGAGGAAAGACTACAGAGAATTAACAACTATATATACCTTTCGTGATCTTCGGACCACCGAAGGACTGCTCGATGATCACATTCCGTCCTGAACAAAGAATAATCAGGCATACGATCTATCCCGCGCACATATAACTGGCTTACCCTTAGGACCAAGGGTCACGCTGACAGCGTCGGCGAGGATGTCAACACCCTTCAGAATGCTGGCACGACCCTCGTTGGAAAACTTGAGCTCCTTGTGCGCGCCGCGCGCGAGCGAAGGCCTCGCAGCCTTGACGGCAGCACGGCGGAGAGCAGCAGAAGACGACTGAGAGAGGTGGTGCATGGTGAAAGAAATGTCGGCGAACGTCGATGGTAACAGCGCAAGGAGGAGAAAGCGGACAGCAGACCTTATGAACAATTTGACGTGGAACACTCTCGAATCACGCCGTAACGGCCGTCACATCATCACGTCACTTCCCAGGTCACAGCCGCGTTTCGCCGCTTGGCGCCTTCCCATTGGTCGACATCCCCGCCAGCTCGCCGCCTTACGGCGACCGCGATGCAGCGAGTCAATGGGAGAAATGTGCGTTACCTCAGGCTAGGCGGCTCATTTGCATAAGACTGTCCGTGGACTCATTCTCTTTCAGTGCTCGACGGCATGTGAGGGGGAGCACTCGGACCACTGAAGAATCTATATCAGAAACAACGTTCAATAGTCATTGGAATCCTGACTCAGATACGACGGTCGAGGATACTTTGGCCGCAGAATATGCCATAAATGGCAAGTAAGCAGCCTAATTTAGATAACGATACGAACGCGACGGACAGTGTCCACGTACTACTAGCTGGTAAGACGATTTTCTTCATCTTGTGTACGCCATGAGGAATTTGCTAGTATTTTGTGCCTTCAGGAGAGTAATTTATTCTAAGTACAGTAAACTCAACAATGAGACAAGGCTTGGAGAAAGTATCAAGCGTAGAAATTTGTATCACTCAAAGTCCAAAGAGCACAGACCTAGAGTTACGGTATTGGAGCAGAAGTGATAACGAGCACCATGCTTTCCCCGTTCCTCAGATGTGCCAGTTAAGTCTCCCTGAACCTCCAAATCTCTATCGTCCCTAGACTGGCCGGGGTTGCAGAGCTCGGCGTATTTACTTGACCTGTGTATCTCTGAGCTCTGCATATTGTAACCTTGGGAAGTCAAACTATATGTTGCTCTGGTTCAAGTGGTAGTGCTTTCTAGTATGCCATGAGAAGCGCATGTCCGAATAACGCGCCGCCGCCCGCATGTCTCAGTCTACTGCACGATCGTTCACAAAGTAAAACAACGTCTCGCCTCTATCGTGTACACAGATATCATGAAACAAAGGGTAGTAGGGTAGATATACACTCATAATAAACACCCCCTAAAATCTTACACGTCCAGCACCGGCTCGCACGACACGACATAGCTAGGCGTCTTCTCCTCTACATCCATTATCTTCTCGTCTTCAACGCTGCTAGCCGCATCCTCCTGGGTCTCCTCTACAAGACGCGACGCCGCAAATTCGCGCGCGAGCTGCTCGCGAGGCATGCTCGGGTCGATGTTGGATAGAGGGCGAATCTTACACAATACGACATACAACACGCCAGCAACGACGGCACTGAGGTACCAGCCTATCGAGTCCAGCCGCGTCGCTGCCAGAGGGACCTTGACGCCAAATGTCCCGACGAAGCCGGTGAAAGGGATGATCATGCCGCAGAAATACGCGAAGAATGCGTTCAAGTTGAAGCCGTGGAAGTACATGTATGTCGCGCCGGGCTTTGAGCTGTACGCGTCCATAATCTTGATGTTGCCCTTGCGCACGATCCAGTAGTCTGTAATCATGATGGCCGCGGTGGGACCCATGAAGATACCGTACCCATCGAGGAACGCGAGGAAACCATCTACCGACTCAAGGATCTTCCACGGTTGCAGAGGGAGCGCGAGGAGCGCGCAGAACCACATCCCGCGCGGGATGTTAAAGTACGTAGGTACGAGCGCAGTGATATCGCTGGCGAAGGGGAGCAAGTTCGCGCCAATGATAGCGCCGAAGTTGAATAGTCCAGAGCAGAACGCGAGCAGGAAAACGAAGAAGCGTATCGGGCCATTCCAAGAGTGTTCGAGCATCGCATCGTAGACGTCCCATTGATTCCAGATCGTCACCCCCCAGGCTTTCTGAAGCGCAGCAGTGCCAAAGATACCGATCATTCCACCCTGTTTGCGACGGGAGAAAAGTGAGAATCCGGGACAGCGGCGCAAGCTAATCACGCAGTAACTCACAATGGCAGCGGGGAACGGCACGAATATAATATGCGTCCAAAGTACCGCGTCGGGATTCTGTGCATATCTCGAGAAATCAGGCATGTTCGCGATAAATGTCGACTACCCGAAGTCAAACTCGCTGGTTAGCAGCAGATTCTAGTGTGCGAGCAAAAATGACATACCCAGTTACCCATGCAGGAGTTAATGGAGCTGACCCATAGCCACGCGAGTGCGGAACCCCGGGGGAGAGCAGTCGTTCCGGCCAACGCTGCAGTTGAGCCCAATTCGCCTTTGCTCTGAACAAGGCAGTAGATGAGAAGGGCGAAGACGGACGGCGGAAGAGTCCACGCTTTGAACGTGTACAACCATCGCAAATTTGTCGGCCTCATCGAACAGAAGGGCAACTCAAGGGCCCAAAAGATGACAAAACCGATGAATTGCTGAACAGTGGTGCCCAAGGACTCAGGGAACTGCACGGGAAGATTGTTCCATTTCTTGCCAACGACGCAGTTGAGCATGGTGGAGATATAGTTGCCACCCTGGAAGGCTGCGATACGGTAAGGCAACGACCAACTTGATTTCAACAGCAGAAGGAACTTACAGAGGACAGACACCCACACACAAGCACATATTCCACGGGCGAGAACGGGCCAGTAGTGTCCGTACATCCCGAAGCAGGTACGAAGGATGACCGGATAGCCGACATGATAGTTAGCGGCTGCGCGAGAGTTGAAAGCCATGCAAGCTCCGGAGACGAAAGCAGCGATCCAGACAGCGATGGTTGCCTGCCACCACGAAAGGCCGGCACCAACCAAACTCGAGCCCAATGTCCTTATAAAAACGCCAAGTAAGTGTGCAATTCATGGAATGTTTAGAGAAACGTACCAGTTTCCAAAGCCTATTCCAAACCAGAAGAGGCAGAAGTTGTACCATCGCCAGTTGATCATGTGCGGCGGGGAAGGTTTGAGGTCCTCGTTCGTCCATGAGTGCAGCCGATGAGCGTTTCCCTCCGTGTGGATGTACTGGATGAAAGCCTCCTTAGAGTCGAATGCCCCTCGAAGCCTGCGAGCCCAGTTACGGACAGGTTGGACGACTTTTGACATCGTGTTGGTTGACAGAACACGAAGCGGAAACGAAGGGGGTAGCGGCTGAAAGACGAGCGGCGAGTCAGATTGACCTTTCCCCGCCTCAATTTAAGGCCCAGTCGGTGACTCTGCAGTACGGCACAGGAACGCGAACGGCTATCCACCACTCCAAGCTCGAATGATAACGGGGTGTCGATAAGAAGATCCACGTCTGGAGATCGCAAGGCAAATTAGAGGTGCCTGTACGACCATGATACGACGGCCTTATCGAGCCGACAAGCCCCTGTGGGGGCGATTTCACCAGTCAGCATCTTCAAGCATAGGCACCCGTAGCCATGGTAAGCCGATAGGTAGAGCGTTGCATGAAAGCTTTGTACTTAGTTCCAGCGCTCCAGCCACCAGCGGGTGACAAGTGATCGACTCAGAGCTAAAACCGGGCCCGATAAGGACAGTACCTAACTATTCCATCAATCAAATAAGATAAGTTTTACAATGGTAGCAGATAAGTGCCTACGTGCTGTACAGCAACGATGTCTGTAGTCCAATAATACCTTGGAAGTTGTGCTTGTCTGTTAAACGCTTTGGCTATCGCGAAGGCACATCGACGCGCCCAGGTCGTTGCAGGACTTGACGGAGACCAAGTACCGATGCAACTTTGCGACACTGCAACGCCGATTGAGGATTTCAACTGAAATGACGAGGAAACGGGTATCGGGCACGTGCCAAGCCTGACTTCCATCGTCCTACGTAGACGCCGAGGGTGCAGTGCAACTCATCTTTCTCTCCTTCGACAACGGCTTGTGCAACTGACCGCTCAACGAAGCATAACGGCACCCTACCCTCACTTTACTACATATAAACCGAAATTGACATCTTGTCAGGTTTTGTTGTGTTTGTGTACAAACTCTAACCGGACATGGACGCGATCGTGCCACCAGAGGTCACTGCAGAGCTTACGCAGATTTTATCAAATCTCGTCCTCGGAGATAACCAGATTCGATCCAAGTAAGTCGGTTCATTATGAATGCAGGATTGCTGATGTCCCTGCAGTGCGGAAAAAGCAGTGAACGACCGTCTCTCGCAGGCGCCGGAACTGTACATCCTTGCGCTTGCTCAGTCTTCGATAAATGCAGATACTGAAGTGGTGAGCATCTTTAATACGTGGTATGAATCTGATCTCAATATGCGTAGATGCGGTCTTTCTCCCTCGTTCTTCTCCGACGTCTTCTCTTCCGTCCGTCTCCCACCACCCGACTGTCTCTTTACGACCACCTTTCTGCGCAAAGCGTCAGCACTCTAGAACGCATTCTCTTACATTCTTTGCTACACGAATCATCATCTATGGTGCGAAGAAAGACGGTAGATACCGTTGCAGATCTCGCAAATAATTCGATGGCACGCGGCAGACCGTGGCACGCGCTGCAGGCACAATCGTTCAGCATGGCCGAGAATACAGACGCTAGCACTCGGGAATCTGCGTTCAGAGTTTTCTCCGGAACGCCTAACATTATCATGGATTTGCAAACGGAAGCCATACTAGCGGTTCTACACAAAGGTTTACAGGACCCGGAGAGTATCGACGTAAGTGTTTTCTTATATCCGCGATCGACCTTGCTCACTATAGCTCAGGTTCGGCTGGCCGCTTTAAGAGCATCCGTAGTTTATTTATCTGCCTCCGACGTGCCACAGCAGGCTCAATCGCTTTCGCTGATGTACCCCATGCTGAACACGCTGCCAACGCTCCCTCATGCTAACTTGCCTTCTTTCATCTCTACACTGACGCCGTTAGCATCCAGCAACCCAAGCTTGTTCGAGCCACATCTCCCTGCGCTGTTGGCATTCCTTCCCGCTCTGATCCTTCCCGCAGTAGATGCCGGTCCGACTCCCACCGTCGCGCATCCAAATCCTGGTGCAGGCGGAAGTAGCTTCGTGTTCCCCCCGCCATCACAAAATGGGAATGGAAAGGGTAAAGCTGCGGCGGAGGAGCGACCAGGAGATGACGAGGAAGAAGAAGTGCGCAAGGCTGCGCTGGAGTTCATGATCAGTTTGAGCGAGGCGCGCCCGAATATGGTTAAGCGCGTAGATGGCTGGACGGGTGTCGTGGTACGTGGATGTCTGGAGGGCATGGGCGAAATTCCAGAGGATGAGACGGATATCTGGCTTGAAGCCGAGGTACGCCCGTATTTAAAATAAGTATGAGTCTTGGCTGAAGAAGACTTCTGGCAGCCTGGGGAAGATCCAACCGATGACACGTATCCGCACGTGTACGAGCAATCGATCGACAGGCTCGCTTGTGCACTGGGTGGAAAGGCGGTACTGCCACCTGCGTTCCAGTATATCCCTGCAATGCTTGCGAGCCATGACTGGAGGTTGCGCCATGCAGGGCTCATGGCGATTGCAGCTATTGCAGAGGGTACAAATAAAGTCATGCAGCACGAGCTGGGGAAGATTATCGAGTAAGTCGACATTCTTCTCAGTGCTGCGTAGTTGAACTCAAGCATTCGAATTCCATAGCCTGGTCACACCAATGTTCTCAGATCCACATCCTCGTGTTCGATATGCAGCGTGTCAATGCATGTAAGTGACATTTTGATTTTGAAAGTGGGGAGTTTTATATTGATTGTGGTTGTCAGCGGTCAATTATGTACTGATCTTGAGGTATGGAGTCCTGTGATTTTTCGTCGACAACTATACCCACGGACGTTTCAAATGTAGGAAGTTATACAAGAACAATTTCATCAGCAGATTTTCGCTGCCCTCATCCCTACCTTGGAAGCTCCGGAGTCTCGGTATGCAAATGTTTCCCTGGACTCCACTATTCCAATTTACTCATAGAAAACCTACTGCTGCTCATCATGGTGGGAACGGTGACAACGCACGGTGTCACGCGTTTTCAGAGTGCACTCGCATGCTGCTGCAGCGTTGATAAACTTCTGTGAGGGCGTCGAACGTGAAACGCTTTTGCCTTATCTCGACCCTATCGTTGAGCGCTTGCTTAAGTTGCTCAACCCGGGAACCGTGGATAAACCTCCAAAGAGGTACGTTCAGGAGCAAGTCATTACCTCTTTGGCTATGGTCGCGGATGCAAGTGAAGTCACATTTGCTAAGGTCAGTCCGGGTTTGAAAGCATAAGATCACATATTTACGCGCCATGTTCTTGGCTAACGTGTTGGTTAAGCATTATTCATCTATTATGCCGCTATTACTGAATGTTCTCCGAAATGCAAATGGCCCGGAATACCGCCAGCTGCGTGTGAAGGCAATGGAGTGTGCTGGTCTGATAGGTGTGTAGCTTTCCTAATATACTTTGCGCTCGCGCTGAACATTTAGTAGCCATTGCCGTTGGACGAGACATTTTCCGACCAGACGCGAGTACCTTTGTAGAGCTTCTCATGCGAATTCAAAGTACGTTGTTTGGTAGATTTCATCTTTGGATGCACTGACCCTGACCCCATTGTTTCTCAGATGGCCCTCCGGATCCAAATGATACAATGCTAAGTCATTATCTCATGTCAACTTGGGCGAAGGTGTGCCAGGCGATGGGTCCCGAATTCGAACCGTATCTACCTGTTGTTATGCCTCCTTTGTTATTGGCTGCAAGCGCAAAGGCTGACGTTTCAATCTACGGTCAGAACTTGGCGGTTGCTCTTTTCATGCTTTATTCCTTGTCTCATTCGAAATTGCAGATGACGATGGTGAGCCAGACGATAAAGATGGATGGGAGACCATTAGCATGGATGGACAGCAAGTTGGTATCAAGACATCTGGCCTCGAAGAGAAATGTCAAGCGTTTGAGACGCTGGTCATATACTGCTCCACTCTCGGTGTCCGTTTCGTGCCTTACCTCACGCAAAGTCTCGAACTCGTCCTTCCGTGTTTGCGATTCTTCTTTCACGAAGGCGTTCGAGAAGCATGCGCCATGTACGATCGCTCATCTGCGCTGCCTTGTCTAAGATCATTGATTTTATACCTCTAGGCTGACCCCAATGCTCATCTCATGTGGAAAAGGGAGCGGAACATTGACCAATCAGATGGTGTCCGCAACATTTTCGCAACTGGTGAACTGCATCGCGGGCGAGACAGACTCGTCATTCCTCGCATCTTTATATAAATGCTTCTGTGATTGCATGCGGCTGTTGGGCGGGCCCCAGGCGCTGACACAGGAGATTCACGATGGAGCCATCGAGGCTACCAAACGCCAACTACAGGGTCTAGCGGACAAGCGAAAAGCGCGCGCAGCGCGGCCAGCAGTGGAGCTTGCGGACGACAAGGATGATCTGATGTTGCTGGAGGAAATGGAGGACTTTGCGCTGGAAGACATGGCACGGATGTTGATGGCATTCGACTCAAATCATCCCTTGCTCATGGCCATTTCCAGCGTACGGGATTTGGGCTTGCATCTTGGGCAATGGGACAGCGAGGATGAAGATGGAACCGAAGGGTAGGGCCACTGCATTGATGCTTAGGAGCTTCGTTTTACCTTCTTGATGCCAGGATATGTACTCTAATGGCGTGCTACTTGATAGAGAGTATGAATGTCGTATAACTTTGTGTAGTACGTACTTGTCGGAACGGAAGAAATCACAATCAAGCTGTAATCCTTTATCCGTGTCTAATCCGTATATCAATTGTGCGAAGAAACTACAATGAACAGCTGCAATTTATTATTACTTCTTACTATACTTTAATTTTGGAGGATTGGCCTGCATTGGCAAAAGGAAAATTATTAGTCAAGGTTAAGCGAAGACAGCCTAGGAATCGAACACTTGAAGTTGATAACGCTGGAATCAGGATGTACATTTATTGTAAACCCTGTCTCCTGCGCCATCATGCATATAATCTCAATTTTTGCTCAGAAGACCTCTACTGCAGTAACTGCCCACGTTTTCTCCGTGATTTCGATTTCTTTCATGTGGAACCAGCCTTTAGAGATCACGCTATGCCAACTGATCCGCCAACTACATGGTCAGTGAAACGCACAGTGACTCGCAAACTCTTCATTCTGCACTCCTGCGACTGGATTCATGAGTAGGCGATATTGGTGAGGAACTTAGCAGCTCTGTAGTGAGGCGTGCTAAATGCTATCCCTGAATCCTCAACCATAAGGGTAAAGATTAACTGCGCATCGTCGATAGGCCTGAGAATAACTTTGATGCCTCAGCTTTCTCACTCACTACAAGTGTGATTGGAGATCACCTGGTCGATAATTCGCCCGGTGACAGAAAATTCAAACGCCTCATAGGGCCCGGCTCATTTGTTCTTCCACTGTTTAAGTATCATGACTTCGCTATACGCTGCTGCTTAGCCTATATCATCTTTCAAGGTTGGAATGTCACGTAAAGCTCCGCTGCAGCTGCATGTCCTCATCGTTGGCTGCGGTCTGGGAGGCGTTGCAGCGGCTCACTGCCTTGCGCAGGCAGGCCATCAAATCACCATCCTCGAGACTGCATCTGCAATCAGTGAAGTGGGCGCTGGCATCCAGGTATCTCCTAATATCACTCGTCTCCTCGAACGATGGGGTTTGGGCGATGCTCTCGCTAGAATAGTCGTCGAACCACAAGCCATCGTTCTCCGCCGATATTGTACTGGCGAACGCATTGGATACACACGAGTAGGACGGTTTGCCAATGCGTCTAGCGGGCCGTACTACCACATCCACCGTGCGGATCTGCACAAACTATTGTACGATTTGGTTGCCCCATATGTTACACTGCGTTTGAATTCAACAGTAGTCGGTATCGACCCGGGTCGACCGTCCGTGCAACTAGCATCAGGCGAGACCATCGAAGGCGACTTGATCATTGGCGCGGACGGTATCAAGAGCTTTGTTCAGCAAGTCGTGCTCGGGCAGAGTAATCTCGCGCAGGGGACGGGAGATGCAGTATACCGGGCAATGATCCCTACTGACCTGATGCTGGCGGACCCCGAGTTGCGATCGTTCGTCGAGACGCCAGAGATGACCATCTGGATGGGGCCAAGGCGACATATGGTAGGCTATAACATTGTGTGTGGTCTACATTTTCACATGTCCTGTCAAAAATTCGGTCCCCTCATCATTTTTTGCATCTACAGCGCGGAGGCAAGCTGTACAACCTTGGCTTGGCGCACCCGGACGATGGCTCGGTCGAATCATGGACTCTGGAGGGAAGTGCTGACAAGATGCGCACCGAATTTTCCGACTTCGAGCCTCGGTACGCGATGCTGTCATAGTCTGAGTTCATTTTGCTGAACTACCCGCAGTGTGAGGAAGATATTGTCTCACGTACAGTCAACGCTCAAGTGGCGTCTGATGGATCGACAGCCCCTTCCCACCTGGAATCACTCGTCGGGCCGTGTGACATTACTGGGAGACGCATGCCATCCCATGCTTGTAAGCTTTTTCATCCAAACCCTTCGTTTCGGCACTCAGTTTCCCTGTATTGTTTGCATTGTGTTAGCCGTATCGCGCGCAAGGTGCCGCCATGGCTATCGAAGATGCTGCGGTCCTGGGGAATCTCCTGTCGCGCATTTCGTCAATTTTACAATTGCCGGCTCTTCTCCAGGCATACGAGTCACTCAGGCTTCCGCGCACGGCCGATACCCAGGCGGCATCGCGCCTGAATCAACACGTTTTCCATATGTCCGACGGTCCCCAGCAGGAAGCGCGGGATGCCGGAATGCGCGAGGCCATGACGAAGGAACTAGAGAAAGTGCAAGGCAACGCCGAGACGGAAACTTTCACAGGCAACCCGAACCAGTGGGCGGATAAGAAAAAGACGGATGCACAGTTTCTGTACGACGCGGATGAGGCGGTAGACGAATGGTGGCGGGAGAAAGGCGAGCGCCTCATAGGGTGCGGTATGAGTCGGCTGTGAACTTGCGAGGGGTTGGTCGCACACAGACGTACGCTCAAGGCAACGTCGCATCTTCGTTCTTGACGGATAAAAGTGATCAAATATAAACATTGTGACGACTGTCGGTTGTAAACTTGCAAAGAGTTGATTATACACGAACGTCCCAAGGCAATGCGTTTCGCACCCTTCGTTATTGACAGATAAAAGCGATTAAATTATAAGTATTATGACAACTGGCGACAAGCATGTGGTATAGTTGGTTATCATACTCAACGCTAGCTCGACCTCTTGGGCTTGCTTATTCGGAAGAAAGTCAATCAGCTCTTTCATCAATGACGGGGCATCACGGAACAGTTTTTCAGTGCTCCGCACGATTTCGCCTTGTGCACACCCGGCGGACAAGAATGCGATTGCCCAGTGCTCGAGCTCTCGCACGTCCTAATTAGAAGCCATGTCTGCTTTCGGGTTCAAAGTTTCCAGAAACTTGCGATATCTGTCAGGCTCGTCTGCATACCGTGTCTTGACCCTCTGGATGTACATCATGGCGGGTTCTTAATTGACATCGTGCGAAGGCTGACGCATCGGTACTTCAATGTGCGAAGTGGGGAGTCTGGGACTATTTGGCCCTTGCGAGAACGATCCATGAGTGAGCCGCGTAGTCGTCCCCGCTGGGGTAGTGACCGTGATGACATTCGAGTCGAGAGAGTCTGTGTTGCAGTCGATGCGATAACCTGCGGGAAGGAACGTGTTGAAACCTTGGATCAGGCTAGGGTGGCCATGAAATAAGCTTGACACGCGATCAATGACACCAGGAGTGTCGATGCTGTACGAGAATGAGCATACGTTGTGAGTTATACGGGTTGAGGGCGTACATTTGGCTCCTAAAATCCTTCATGATGTCGAGAAACTTGTTATACAGATCCGGTCTGTCCTGAAACTTCAACTTGATCGAGTCGAGATATTCAAGGGCGTCTGTTATCTTCAATGGTCTTTCAGTCGCTGGTTGATGTGCATCTAAATGTGTGGCAGCAGCCAGGCCTGATGAAAGGACGTTGCAACTAGGATTGGGAATGTCGCGAGAGAGTTGGAGTTCAGATGTAGTCGAAGAAGTCTCCTGTGCGGTTGTGAGGGAAGATACAGACTCTGCGGCTGTAAGTGCAGATTGGATGCCCTCGGACTCGCCCTCCACGCCTCCCGAGCTCGCAGGAGGGTTTGAAGGCTCACTGCCGAGCATGACTAATAGACTGCTCAGACTAGTTTGCATTCTAAACAAAAACAATTTCTGTAATGCACAAATGTGAATCCGAGGGCAACTTACAAGTAACAAAGGCTTAGATTGCTTTGGCTCTGTTGAAGCTGCAGTATGTCAGCGCACGCTGATAGTACAGGTCAGTATAACAATACGTAAGTAATAATGAGAACGGCGGCATACCTTAGTTGTGGGGGGAATACAGCGACTGGGGGGCACAGCAGTATCGCTACGCAGTATATAACGAGACATGCACGTGTAGGAAACAGAGTTTTGATACGTAGAAAACAAGGTTTAAGTAAATGGGTGTCCGGAGCGATGCAAAAGATCAACGCTCCTCCTCAGAGCGAAGGGATAAAAGAATGGAAAAAGAAAAAGGAGCGGAAAAATAAAATAAAACTATATCACAGACTGGGTCAAGACATGTCTTCAATCTTAGACTCCTCCTCAACCACGGATTTCTCCTCCTCGGATGGAATGTCACGCAGGCCCATGAGCATACGAAACTTCAGAAATGAACCACGGTCGAGGGCTTTTGTAAAAGTGTCAGCCACATTGTCTTTGGTATTAACATACGAAATAGCCAGCTGCTTTGTGTCAACATACTCACAGATAAGATGATGGCATACATCGACATGTTTGACACAAGAATGAAAGGTTGGGTCATGCAAGAGATGAATACCACCAGTACTGAGGAAGGTGAAGGTGTAGGAGAAGTGTACACAACCAAATAGCCTCTTTCATGGCTTCTGATGTGACCACATATTCAGACTCAGTGGAAGACAAGGGAATGGTGGATTGTTTTCATGCAGACCAGCAGATCAGACCAGAACTGAAAGAGAAGCAGTAACTGGACACAGAATGATGAGTATCCACACAGGCAGCATAGCTAGCATCAACAAAACCAGAAAGTGAGGCCATGGAATCGCCACCAAGAACAAGAGAGTAAAGACAAGTGCCCTTGAGATACCAGACAACATGCTTAGCAGCTTCCCAGTGCACAAGCCCAAAAGAGTCAAGGAATTGGCTAAGTTGTTGTACAGCAAAGGAGATGTCAGGATGAGTACTGTTAAGGGACCTAATGACTGAGGATCAGGAGTTCAACTGTTTAACTGTTACTAGGACTTATACATGCTATAGTCCTACACTAATACTTAGGGTTGCAAACTGAGCCACTACAACTGGTAGCGGTTTGAGAATGTATACTGGTTGAAGCTGAGCTTCAGACTGAAACTAGGACTTGAATAGACAATCAAGTCTATTGCTAGAGAACTGTCCCTATGAAGTGTATGTAGGGAACAAGAGGACAAAACT